AGCCACTACACCCAGAAACTTTGGAACTTCCTCCCTCAACCCCTTCGCCTCACTCCATCCCTCCCCATCTTCAGGTCGCGCCTGAAGACCTTCCTCTTCAACAGAGCGTATGGTCACCTTCCCCCTCTCACTGGTTCGGCCTCAGGCTCCGCCATTGTTAAACACTTCGGGACATCGCCCAGTGTGGAGGGCTTTATGCACATTGTTGTTGTTCAGATTCAGCATGACTAGCCACATGACAGAAATTACAAAGGAAAATAAGAGGGCATTCAGCCTATTGACCCTATTCCACCAGTGTTAGATATTGATAGATCTTAATAAGCACTTTGAGACATTTCCTTTATACTCTTCCAATCAGAGAAAAGCCATCCTTGCTGCATCAGCCTTCCTGAGACCCCTGAGAGAGATTATCAATTCAGTGCTGAATTAAGGGCATTTTTGTGTTGTGAACTCACAGGCATGAGGATGAGAGCAGCTGCTGACTTGAAACCTTTATTTCTTTCTGCATGATGTTCCTATTTTTTGGGTCAGCCAGGTGGGAAAGCTGTTACCATGCTTAAGAGTATGCAAACCAGACTGAGAGATCCAGATACCCATGTCACCTACACATGGAGATTTCCTTTTGTCTGAAATGAATGTGCCTATTTGGTGCAGGTTGGAGTGAGGCAAGGCTTGGGGCACACAAAGTGTGCATTGGGAATGGCTGGGTACCAGCTGAAACTATACATTTAGTCTGGGATCAGTTCATCTTTGAGACTCTGTATGGGGCCGGGGGAAGTTGGAGAAGCATATATTGAGACCTGTTAGGGTTGCACCTCCTGCCGGTGGATCATAAAATTACAATAATGCACAAGTCTGGCTATACTTTTTTTTCTAAACTCCCAATTTTCTCTCTCCTCGAGCTGAAGTTTCACCAAGTGCTTTTCTGCTTTTCTCAAGTGCCTATAGTTCACGTGTGAGTTTTGACAGTAAATGTCAATAAAATATTTGACCGAGGAGTGTGGGGATCGGGGGAGATGGATGCAGCCTGAACCTGCACCTTCTAGTGGGTTGCCTCAGTAACCATCAGGAAAGAGAAGGTTGGCTGATTTTTGTTTTCTTAAAAACCCTTCTGAACCCAGAGGAACTTAGTCCAATCGTGCCAACTTCACTCCGACTCTGGCTACTGGGTTCCATTAACTGAGCTCAGACTGATTTGAACCTATGGCTTTCAATCTGTACGGCCCAGTGCCTTTACTGCTGGGCCACCAGAGTTCCTATGGTCTCGTTGATGTGATTAGGAAAAATACTAATGGTGATGAGAGGTGAGGAAAGGGGCATTTAATCAACTAATTAGCAACAGACCTCAGCAGTTTTATAATTTAAAGCACACAGGAAAAACTAATCTGATTTAGAGAACTACATTGCGGAGAGGTTATGGAATGTGAAGATTTAATTTCTCATTTGTGTGTTTTGTATCTTGGCTGTCTAATCTGTCATGACATTTTAATTTGGGGGGAGGGTGTGGTGAAGAGACCAGCATCTGCTAATAATTTATATTATTGCTTTGGCTTAAACACAAGCTAACCATCTGGAGCCGAAATTAAATCTTCCAATCTTCCATCCTTGGAAGTTACAGATTCCAGTAACCACTATACAGTATGAAGCAAGAACTGCACATAAAAGTTGTGTTTGTTACCCTTGTATTTCAAAACGCGCTAGTAACCATTAGCTGAACAATTTATAATATAATCTTGATTTGATTGTCCAACAGAAACTGATTGGTCTCATTTTCATATCTTGAGTCAGAAGGTTGTATGTTCAAGACTCCCTTTGGGATTTAAAGTCCAGGTTGACACTCCAATTGTCGGAGATGCCATCCTTTGGATGAGGAGTTAACACAAGGCCTGGTTTGCCTGTTTGTGTGGAGCTTAAAGATCCCATGGCACTGTACAAAAAGAGAAGGAAAACCAACAATCATCCAGATAAAATTGTTCACTTACTTTGTGGCTGTTTATGGGACATTGCTGTGCACAAATTATCTGCCACGTTCACCTACAAAATAGTCGCACTTTATATTACATTCTGTAAAGTGTTTTAAGATGTCCTCTTGAAGTGAAAGGCGTTATAACAAATACAAATATTATTTTAAGTTTTGAATTTTTTGCAATTATTATAGTGCTAACCAAATTAAGAATGTTAATCATAAGCACTCAACAATCTGCTAAATAAAATAATATCTATTTTGCCTTATCAAGTCATCAAAATATTTCAAAGAGCTTCGCAGAATGTTAGTGTGAAGTTTGGTTTCTGTATTAGTGGGTGATCTACATAAAAAAAACACCTGATTCCATCATGCAGGTACATATTTGTTCAGATATGAACAGGGGAGCATATTGAGTCTTTTTGAAATGTCTTTAACCCACTGGAGTTATACAATACAATATTACATCTATAGAGCGCCTTTCACACAGGGAGGGACGTCCCAGGGCTCTGGACAGTCAGGGATTTGGACCCGAGCTAAGTGTCGGGATCAGGGAGGGTCGCCGGGTGGCCAAAGGCGCGGTCGAAGAGGAGGGTTTTGAGACGGGCCTTGAAGGAGACAAGGGAGGGAGTGAGACAAAGGGAATGTGGGATGGAATTCCATAGGGTGGGGGCAGAAAAGCTTGGGGTGGGCCGGACGGGGGAGCTATATTCATGGTTTGGATGAGGTGAGTGGATCTGTTTTTTTTAAAAAAAACTACAATGCATTACGTTTATACAGCACAACGGCTTTCTGAAGTTGTTATGCTGCTCTCTGTTCTGACTGGGCAGTGTTTACAGCAGCTGGACCCACATTGCTGTATCGCTTGATAGGCCCGGCCAGATGGACATGGGAACATTCCTGTGTATCGTCTACGTAAACAGCTTTGTTCCAGACCAGTTGCAGTTATTTTTTTTTACCGCTGTACCAAGAGTTTCTCGGGTTGCACTGTAGCGCGTCCCCAACAGCCAGCAGAGTAGCCCTATTATCACTTACTGTCCTTGACTGTAGAGAGAAAAAGAACAATAAGATACCATCAGAGACACTGCTACCTGGGCGTTTTGAATTTGCAGCTTTCACAGGAGAGTAAAGAAAGCGGAGAAAGAAAATACGTAAAATGTGAAGAGATTATTTTGTTTGTGGGGGGAGGGGTAAAGGATGGAGTGTGGGGGTGTGGAGAGTGAGGGAGCGAAAGAGAAGGGATGGGCACCAATTTCTTAAATGTTGAAGTTGTACAATGGAATGTTTTTTTTCTCATGGTGATCTTCTAAACACTCTTAAATATGCTTGATGTTCCCTCCGGGGCTCATTTGCACTGGTGTAAATCTCCCTCCTTGATATGAAACATCCAGTGGGAATGAGTGTGGGAACACTGCTGGGGGTGGCTTGTTGCTACACCACACTCTAAGTTGGCATGCTCACAAAGTAGCAACTGGAATTCTTTCAGAGCAATGGGGGGGGAGCGGTGGGGGCAGAGGAGAAGATGGTTGGCGATCATATCTGTGCCATCTCCCTGCCTCTAAAAAGCACGTCCTTGTATCTTCTGTTTGCTGTGAGACCAATCTGGGAGAGAGCTGAAATAAGTTGAACGACATGGAACAGACATAGGGGTTTTGGAGCGAGGGTGAGAGCAACAGGAAAATACACTCTGAATGCAATTGTTTTTGTTCAGTGCATTGAATTCCAGGGATCAACCATTGATGGATGCCTTTCTGTTCCTGAGCCACTTAACTCGCATGTATATTGCAGCCACTAGGTGATGCTGCAATAACAGTCACAATTGATTTTTTTAAAATATCCTTGCATTTGAATAACTCCTTTCATGTCAGCAGCACATCAGAGTGCTTCAGAGGATATATTCTGAAGTGTAGTGACTGCATATTTTCTAGGCGAATGCAGCAAATTTGCACACAGTAGAATCCCACAAACAGCCACAAAGTGAATGGCCAATTTTATCTGAACCAGAAATCGGACACTGGGCAAAACTCTTCTCTTTTTGAATATTTTCATGGGATCTTCATCATCCACCTGAACAGACATGTGGGACCTCAGTTTAACAGCAGAAGGATACTGCCACTAACAAGGAAGCACATCCCCAGCACTGTACTGGAGTGTCAACCTTGAGTGTGAGCTCCAAGTCCCAACACTGGGATTAAATCCACAACCATCTGAGAGGTGAGAGTGCTACCAACTGAGGCAGGCATTAAAGGGAGGGAACTGGACAATAATGTCCAATGATTGATGCTCAAGTGCCAATGTTTGTACGTTTATGCTGAGCTCCAAATGCAGTAGAAGTCCAACTGCTTCTCCCTGATCTCTGAGTCTGGTAATCGTTCCAAATCTTTATATTTCCTCAACATTCCAAAAATCCCAACTCTATAGGATGGAAGAAAATTGTGATAATCTTTACTTTGGGTATAGCACTTTTCACGACAGAAGGACATCCCAAAATGCTTCACAGGTAACATTCTAAAGTGCAGTGACTGTTTTGTGGGCGAACACAGCAGCCAGTTTGCACACAGTAATGTCCCATAAACTGCTATGGAGTGAACTTCCAATTTTTATTTGGGGGATTGTTGGCCACAACTCCAGAAGAAACTCTTCTAAAATAGTGTCACGGGATCTTTAATGTCTCATCTGAAGGATGGCACCTCCGACAATTCAGCACACCCCCAGCACTACATTGGAGTGTCAGCTTAGCCTACGTGAGTTCCAAGTCCCAATGTGGGAATTGAACCCACAGCCTTCAGACTCGGAGGCGAGAGTGCTTGAGCTGAGCTACTCTTGACACAAATAGTAAGATATGGCTACAATGATCTAGGGTAAATGGAACATGTATAATAGAAAAAATTAAACCTGCAGGTTCATTTATTATAAGGTGCTTGGTTTGATGCTGAAAATCGTTTTGTATAGAAGAGCAAGTCATTCAAAGAAAGGTGAGTTGTATTCATTATCGCATTTCGTTATCTGTAGTAAATTAAACTTTTTTTTGTTATAGGTCCATCAGACTGATCTAATAGTGATAACGACTCCAGAACCAGAGGGAATTCTAGCAGAGTGGATAAAAACTGGTTCAACCATAGTTACCTATGATCAGATGCTTTTATCAGGTAAATTATCCATTCTTTAATATTTTGGAAGTACAAAGCTGTTGCAATGGTTAGAATTGAACATGTCGATCTCCTTGCTCTTTGAAATAGTGCCAAGGATCTTTAATCCACCTGGACATGTGGGCGAGACTGTGATTTACCATGTCATCTGAAGGATGTCTAATCAATCAGTCCTAGTACTATATTAATACTAGCATTGATTGAGGTCAGCCTTGGTTTATGAAGGATAGAGGCTTGAAAGGGTAAGGGGATAATACAGGATAGTAGAATTGAATGAACACCTTGTTCTGAGAGCCAGACGCTTCTGTAACTTACTATGATTATGATTAACATTAATTTAACATCACCAACAACAACAAATTGCATTTATACAACACCTATCACATTGGGAGGAATCCCAAGGCGCTGAACCTTAGATAATAAGAGTCAGAGAGTTTGGATTATTCAGAATAAAATGCATTACCATGATAGCAGAGTTAATGTGGTGGAGGAATAATGTGCTGAATAGTCTTTTGTTTGCATTTGACTTTTTTTCTACCTCTCCTGGCTTGGAGTCAAGCTCCACCACTGTTAAATGCTCTGGGATATGACCCCTCATTAAGTGTGCCATATAACTGCAAGTTGTTGCTGATGCTTTTGTTGTTTCTAGTGTTTGTATTGCAGTCTTTCTAAGACGATGTAAGTATTTCATTTAGCACAAGTAATAATGGTGTTTTACACATTGTCACACTTCTTATGCAGAAAGGGCACCTAAGCTTGTTTTTTCCCTTCAATAGTGCAAATATCAATTGACCTGTGCAAGTTTGAGCTTTGCTTGGTGATAAAACATTTTTGATATGCCCATTACCGAACAATCTTATAGCTGCATGTTAGACAAATGTGCTGTGTTTTTTAATTGGTCATAAATCCTTACACAAGGTAAATGTTCGTTATACTTGTGCTTTGGGCACTTTCATATGTAAACCCCATATGTAAAAAGTTTCTCAGTTTTGTCTGTAAAGCAGACCCATGGAGTAATCCGCAAGCTTAAACAATGCAGGACAGTCTGGATCTGACAGCTAAGATGGGTTTGACATTTTTGTGGTTCAGACTATCCTCAAAAAAGAATGAAATTAAACCGCAAAATTGAATACCTTTTGTTCATGTGACTACTGCATAGTATCAAAGTTTTCAGGGATCAGAAGTGTGTGGTTCTCTCATTTGACTGATGGTCTATTCATTTGTATGACTCAAAGAGCAAGTCCACACAGAACTCGGTCAATAGTGCACTTGCTTCTGAGTCAAAACGCGAGTTAAAGCCCCACATCGGGACTGTGAATTTGTGATCCAGACTGACACTCCAATGCAGTATTGGGGTAGCACAAAAATAATAATAATAATTTGGTCACTCAATCCACGAGTGTTTGTGGGAAACTGAGTGTTCAATTGGCTGCCGTGTTTCGTCCCACAAAATATACAGTCAATTCACTTTACAGTATATCCTGTGAAGCTCTTTGAGACATCTTGAAGACATGATAAGGCACTATATCAAATACAAAGATTATTATGTCAGCTGCTCAATCCTATTCTCCTGCCTCAACTCTCTGCTGTTCAGATTCCAGACTACTTCTCGTTTCTTCCGTCTTAACAATGGTAGCTGAGCCTTCAGTCTAGTACAAAGTCCCTGTCCTTTTTGTACTCCCCTGTCCACAGTATTGAACAGCATAAACAATCCACAATGTGAATACTGTTTTTAAAATTCTTAAGATGGGAAATGTGAAAAATATTTTATAGTTTCCAGATCTCAAGTGAGTATGATATGAAATATCCTGTGGTCTAATTGAATGTAATAATAAACCAAACTGAAATGCAATAAGCAGCGAGAACACCACTGTCAGTAGTTTTTCCTTTAAAGCAAAGCGGAGTTTGTATTACAAGTGGAGGACACAACTGCTCTAATAATGCTTGTGGGTTTCTCCAGTCAGTAACTGAGCTGTGCAGAGCAATGTTACCACTTGCATTAGCAATAGAACTTGGATTTGCCCCTGTAAATTCCTCCAAATGGAAGGTGCTTCCTCCACATGTTTAAAACTCATTGTGCCCAAGACTATTGAAAGAAGAGATGGGATAACTGGGAATGGATCTTAAGGCTTTGTTACAAAAAGGGACTCCCAGAATTGAAACTGGTTCGGGGTGGGCAGGGGAGAGAGGTTAAGAGGAAACGATCTAGATTTTCCAATCCTGCGAAGAATGAATATTGTCAATGCAAACAGGTTGTTTAGCTTGGACTGCGGGCACAGAACTTGGGGGAAAAAGAGTTTAGGAGAATTTTNACACTCACCGAGTTGTTGGGAAGAGGCATGTCACCTGCCAAATTAGGTAGACCGTAGTATTAAAGATAGAGGCTTGAGAGGGTATGGGGATAAGCCACGAGAGTGGGAATGAATGAATACCTTGCTCGGAGAGAGGCATTTTGGGGGACATTCCTATGCTCAAATTGGCTGCCATGTTTGTCCGCAAAAATACATAGTCACTTCACTTTGAATAGCTGTTTTTATAATGAACCCCAGTGCAGCTTAATTAGATGGATGGCAAAGTGCCATAAATGTTAGAACAAGTGAATGATGTTGGGTGTACATCAGGTACTTGGTTCTGAATGGTTAACACTATTTAATGATGGAGATACTTATGGCTGATTTTCATTTAGCTTCTTTACTGACAGTTGTTCTGTGGATATTTTATATTGCCAGGCTTCCTCTGTGGTTTGCAGATGGCCCTTGGGGACTGGTTGTAAGCAGCGATGGTGTTGAGGCATTCACCTTTTGGGCTGGTTTCTGGTAGATTTTGTTTCTGCCCTTGTGGTCCTTGGGTTACCAAGATTTGAATGGAGTCAGCTGTGTTGCTCCTAAATTGCATTAAAGCTACAAGGCAATCCCATTAAACAGGCCCTCGCTGGATAGACTGCAGGTTCTTTAAACATGCTGGTCTCTTGTGGACCTGGAGATGTCAGAAGTGCAGCATGATTGCTGTTGCAGACCGGCCAGCTTGTCACGCTAAAAGGCCACCTTCCATCATCCGATTATCACTGATATTGCGACCTGTGCTTTGTGCAAGTATGCAGGAAACATTGCTGATGTTGCTTTGCAAAGGAAGTGACATCAGTGTCAGGTTGCATGCACAGTGCCCACGAGATGGCTTCAGCAAAACGTCCTGCTCTTAGCACCTAGCAAACAACGAGGTCGTGATGGCATTGGTCGAAAGGATGACATAGATTAGTGTGCCGCCTTATAACATGGGATCAAATCACTCCATTGTAGCTCGGTTGCTCTGATAATCGGGATGAGTGCTTGGAAACCAATCTCTAATTTGGGTTTCACTGTCAACATCAAGAATTCCTAGGCCAGTTGCAGCACCATTATACGCAGTGTAAAGCTCCCTCTGCTCTGCCTCAAAAACATTCCTCAGAGACAATCTGATAGCTTGTGAATTTGATGTCAGAGGAAAGTTTGCTAATCTTATAGAGAGTAGCTGTGTTAAGTGAAATCATCTTTTCAGCAGCTATGAGTTACAAATCAAATCTCTTAGCTGACAGGAGTAGTGAACCTCTTTATTGCATAGAATTGTATGGAATCCACAGCACCAAGACGGACCATTTTGGCCCAGCTCATCCATGCTTCCACCCATCCTAATTCCCTTATATTCCTCTGTTCCCTTCTCTCTCATGTATGCAATTCACCTTGAAGTTTATACTACCTGACACCTTTGAATGATCATTGCACCTTGCACCCAGCTTCTAGTAGTACATTTTAGAAGGCACTGCAACATCTTGGTGTATTTATTTTAATCTAAATGCCTGCTTAGCACATGTATAATAAACCATGAGTGGGAGAAAGGAAAGTAATTGTGGAAGATATTAAATAAGATTTATTATTCTTCCTTGCCTTAACTGCAAGAATCTAGTTATGATGTACTCTAAAACTGCATGCAGAAAACCCATTAGTGGGAAGATGGGGCCTTCAACAAGCTGGGGATCAGGTATAGCGCAGAATTTATCATCTATTTAGAATTCACTGAAACTCCCGTAAAACAATGAAGGTAGGAGTGTTTTGTGTGTGGCCATGATTTTGCAGTTTTTCTGACATGGCTGGCACTAGTGGACGAGAATGGAAACTGCAAAATGTCCAGAAGATGAGCTTATGTGAGCTAAGATGTTACAATGTCTTTAGTTGCAAAGCAGTCAGGCTCTTTAACCCTTCTGAGCTGAAGAACAGACTTTTGCAAGGGTTTCTTTAAGTAGGAAAAAAGTGACTGTGCAGATTTTTACTATTTCAATACAAAGGTATGGATCTTTCCTGTTTGTTACAGTTGAGGAATATTTATTTATGTTTGCAAAAATAAAGTAACAGCCAAACTCTGGGATAAGCAATAATATTTTTGTGTGTGGTGATGGGGTGGGGGGTGGGAGAAAAACATCTGAGACTGACCAGTTTGCTTTTAGTAGTTGTGAGATGCTACATAATCCACATGCTTCTTTAAGGCATTTCTCAGTGTACTGTGCACATCCAATCGGCTTTGTACTTACTTTGATTTGCATCTCTTGCTAACCGGAGATAAGTATTAAAGGGAGGTAAGACTTTTAAGAAAAGCCAATATTTTGAAGTCATGGTGCAGTAAATTTATTTATTTGCCATCTGTGGTTTGTTCCAGATGAAACTTGTGACCAGAGCACCAGTCGCCAAGAATTGCAGCGTAATGAAAATACTTATCAGGGATCCTCACATGAAGGGATTGGACTTCTGGCAACTGCTTTGCGGATCAAGGTTAGGCTAAGTTCAAATTTTGAATAGCTTGGTTGTACAGTCCTTTTCTGTGCAATTCTCTGAGTGTGTAATTTCAGATGCTGGAGAACAGATTCCACACACCCCCACCCACGTAATGCATGTTTACTTAACCTATGTCACAAAAGTCTTGAGTTTAAATCAACTACCTGACTTGCTAACTTGCAGTGGAATAGGTGGAGAAATATGGATGTCAATTTGAGCAGGAATACTCATTCCTTTTATATTTCAAGCCTTTGCAAGAGTTACTCACTGGCTTGAAGGGGTTGCTGAAGCTGACTGCTGTTAACAGAGATTCAACATCCATTGTGTATTCCCATTCAGTTGCCTTGCACTATCGGGTTCACTTGTCCTTCATTTATCAGATTTGACATCAGATTCGACGATACAATGCATTTAAAATTGGTGTTTGCTCTTGTTCTACCACTATTGGCAGATTAAATGAAGAACAAGTAAATATTGTGCAAGAATCGATCCTCTATTCCAACAGGTTAACTCAGCAGTGTTGTGATTAAAATCCAATAGTTTGGACAGACTAGTTCTAAAGCAATTATATTAGGAGAACGGATTCATTTGTATGGCTATCTGCCCATCTTGATAGACATGAGATTTACTGTTATCTGCCAGCACCTCCTGTTCTGTTAGACCAACTCATTGTAGGGCAGAGAAAACAAAAGATTATTGAATACAACCAGCTGTTGGGCGACTTGCTGATTAAAACAGTATAATTTAGAGTGACTAACGATGCTTTCAGAAAAAAGACTAATTGGGATTAACAACTCGTTAATTTCATATTATTTTGAGTTTGGGTAAATTCAATTCTGCTTCCAGCCTTGTGGACTATTAAAATAATTATTTAATGCATGCAGGTTCAGGGCGGGAAGAAGGATTTGTGCATGTAACTTTATGCCCTAGATGTTTTACCCACATCCTCACTTGCACGTAAGCACTCTGAGACACCGTCCAGCGTGAAGGGCGCTATATAAATGCAAGTTGCGTTTGTTGTTCACCAATCTCCCCACATCCATCACCTGGGTCTTCACCAGTTTCCACTACATCAACTTCAAGGGCAGACCAGTCACTGGAAGGGCAGACCAGTCACTTGGGGGCAGGGAGTCATTCTACTCAGTGCCTGTTAACTCTGCAAGCCAACGCCTTAGCGGATAGGGTGGTTCTAGCTGAACAACCAGCGCGAAAGCTTGTCAGACATCGATATCAATGGCAAGCTATGCAGTTTTAGCTGGTTGGACTCCAGCAGTGCCCTAACGCACACTCTAGGGTTCCCAAGCCTTGGCTAGACCAACTTGCTCTTATACGTTCCTGAATTAGGTAAGCAGGATGTACCTCTCCAGGGAGAGAGTGTGCATTCCTTTCCAACAATCTATCTCTGTGATTTCCGTGTGTAGGTGGGATATTTGGAAATCTCAGCTCGGTTTGGATACTCGTAGGCATGGTGATGAGTTTCCAGCATGTGTCAGACACTCGACTGACTCCCCCACGCACCCCCAAAACAAAAATCTATTTCTAGATCCTCATTTTTGCTTACAAATCGATCCAATCCCTGGCACCAGCTTATGTCTCTGAACTTAACCCAGTCTCCTCCGCCCGGTCTGATCAACTTGCTGTCACCTTGCTAGCTGGACTTCCTGCGCTTCCTCCCACCTTTTACTGCCACTGGTGGCCTATACCCCTAACCTCAGGAACTACCTCCCTTTACCACTCTCTTCTATCTTTAAGTTCCACCTCAAATTCAATTTCTGCGAACACACCAATGGCCGCCTTGCCACACCCTTGCTCAGCATCCAATCTTTCTTATAAAGCGCTCCAAGATGTTACCCCATGTGAAGGGCACTATACCATATAAGTGCTTGTTGTTGTTGCATTAGAAATATTACATTAGAACATCTTTAATATGAAATGCTTTTCCAAATGAATTCTCTGTGGTTTTATTTCAACTAAGATGAGATCTGATCAATAATTTGAAAAGCTAATAAAACTGGCATCTGCTAAAAGATACAACCAGCCCATATAAAGGAGAAAGCACATTTAATCTTAGGGAGCAGATGAGATATCCAAAGCCAAAATAAACCTCTGTTAAGTGAACAAATCTTATCAACATTATTTATAATTGAAAGCAAATGTCCCATTAATCATAACAAGAAAAAAAATATTCTTGATTAAATGGCAGCTATTGAACAAGGTCCAAATAAATGTAATCATTTTGAGGAGAAATGAAAGGGCATTTCATTTGAACATCATATGCTAATTACAGATGATGTAACTAGGACTTGAAATGTTATCAGAATGTTTGAGAACTGCGAAATAAGTTTGTAAAATGTGAGCAGTGTAATGATCTTATAAAATCAAGTGCTTTCTATCTGTGTAAAATGCGGGTATTACAAAAAAAAAGGATTCCTTTGTGTTATGGAATAGATTATAGGATCTGCCTCATTCCAGAATCCCTGACTTCTTAAAAAAAATCCCCTTAGTTATTGTGGATTGAATTCTTTAGTCAAAAAAAAACATTTTGCTAGTGTTGAGTGACTGAAAGGAAAGATTTCACCTCTAAAAATGACTGACTTGCTCTATTGAACTAAAAATTGCTTCATCATTTAATAGCAGACGTGCTCAAATGTACCCAATGTTTTATTTTGTCTTAGTATAAAGACTGGGAACTTAAATTTCATCTTGGTTCCTCAATTCCAAAATTTCTGAAAGGGAAATCTTTTTTTTGTTGGAGTTGAAGCTCTCGTGTTTAGTTTTTCGTTCTTACTGGAGAGATTGTGAGTTGAGGTGGCAATCGAGGGATTACCAGAGAAGCTTGATGTGAAATACTGACTGTCCAGCTCGGAGAGGTAGGGGAGTGCAGAGGAGTTGAGGGATTTGAATACAAGGGTGAATATCTTGAAGTCGATCCTCTTTGGAACAGGCTGCAAGGACTGGGGTAATCAGGGAGCGGAGTTTGGTGCGGGTGAGAATGCGGGTGACAGAGTTTTGAATAATCTGGATTTCATGGATGGTAGTGGAGGGGAGGCCGGGAAAGAAGGGCATTTGAATAGTCCAGCCGAGAGGTGACAAAGGCATGGACCAGGGCTTCAACGGCTCTCGGAGAGAGGTATTGACGGAGACGAGCGATGCGTCGGAGGTGGAAGAAGGCGGTGCTGGTGAGGAACCGGATGTGGGGAGGAAGGATAATTGGGGGTCGAACCTGGCGCCTAGGTTTCATACGCGTTCAGAGAGTTTTAGGGGGAGGTCGGGTAGGTGGAGGAGGTGAGAACCATGAGATTTTAGACGTTGACGAGAGCCAAAGAGTATGGCTTCCGTCTTGTCAACGTTCAGCTGAAGAAAGTTTGCACTCATCCAGCCCCTGAGGTCTGACAGGCAGGCGGACAGAACATCAGGGGACTGGGGGTCGCAAAGTGAGGTGGAAAAATATTGGGTGTCGTCTGAAAACATGTGGAAATGTACCCCATGTCTGCGGATGACATCCCCAAGGGGGAGCATGTAGATCAGAAAGAGGAGAGGGCCAAGGATGGATCCTTGGGGTACCTCGCAGGTAACCGGGTGAGAGCGTGAGGAGAAGCCGTTTGTGCAGATGTACTGCTGGCGGTTTGTGAGGTAGGACTCAAACCAGGCGAGTGCAGTCCCACTGAGGTGGATGACGGAGGAAAGGTGGTGCAGGAGGATGGCGTGATCGACTGTGTCGAACGCGGCTGAGAGGTCCAGGAGGACAAGGAGGCAGAGGGAGCCCAGATCACAGATAGAGAGGATGTCGTTTGAGACTTTCACAAGTGCAGTATCTGTACTTACTCCACACGCCTGATAAGAATCCCTCAAGAAAAAAATAAATCGTTCATTTTCAATCCACGACTGTTTGTGGGACACTGCTGTGCGCAATTGGCTGCCGCATTTCGTCACAAATATATACAGTCAATTCATTTTGCAGTCTATTCTGTGAAACGCTTTGAGACGTCTAGAAGATGTGAAAAGCGCTATATCAAATGCAAGGATTATTACTATTATAAAATTGGTTGCTGCATTTGTTTACATTTATATGGTCTCTATTACAAAAAACCTCTGCTTTGGCATGACAAGGCACTAAATCAAATGTGAGAAGTACTTATTATTAGGCTACTTTTGCCTTTGCCTGGCATCACACACTATCCACCTTCTAGATCTCTGGATAGTGATTAGGATTGTGAACCTGGCTGATTTGTTGCTCGCTAATCCTGCGATAGTAAGGCCAAACAGAGTGCCCCAACTGAGCTCCGCTTTCTCAGCAGAGACCAAGAAATGAATCGCTGCATAAAATGTACTTATAAAGTAATACTGTAGGAATATTTTTGCTCCTTTAACCAGGTTAAAAAGAAAACATTTAGTGCAGGAAATTATGGAATTTTGAGAGTGATACATTTCACCGGAATGTTCTTGCATGGATTTTGTGGGTTTATTGCCTCTTTCGATAAGCCTGCTGTAACAAATTAAAGAAAAATAACAAATAAAAAGAAATCTCTGGATAACCCTGGTCCACTTTAAACAATTTTGCTGGTGTTTATATTAAATGATAATTAACCATTCAAACACTTGTTGCTGTGGTTGTAGCATTGAATTTATTAGTGTTGGCAGAATATTTTTTTGCTGATATCTTGAACAGCTTGTCAAAATTATTCTAAAAGTATTTTTAATAAATCGCAATATTTAGATCTCCATTCGAGCAACAAAATTCTAATAACTTTTACAATTTAATTAACTATCACTAAGACACGTTTGCCTACAGAATACACTTTATCACTTCAATTCTTGAAATGCACATCTGGTTCTATTGTATTTGCTTTACAACAACAACAACAAGATTCCATTTATAGAGCGCCTTTCACGTCGGGAGGACGTCCCAAGGCGCTCAGTGGAGTCCTGTAGCTCAGTGGTTACAGCACTCACTTCGTAAGCGAGAGACCTGGGTTTGATTCCCGGCAGGGTGAAATGTTGGGCAAGTTTCCTTATGCCTTTGCCATGGAGGGTCTTGAAGACGAGGACGAGAATTCTGAACTTGATTCTCTGAGGGATGGGGAAGCCAGTGGAGCCGAGCGAGGATGGATGTGATGGAGTCACGGAGTCTGGTGCGGGAGTGGACACGAGCTGCAGAGTTCTGGATGGTCTGCAGCTTGTGGAGGGAAGAGCAGGCTGTTGGCATAGTCGAGCCTGGTTTTAATAAAGCCATGTATGAGGGTTTCGGCGGCCTGAGGGGTGATGCAGTGGCAGAGTCTGGCAATATTGCAGAGGTGGGAGAAGGCAGAGCGGGTCATGGCACGGATTTGGGGGATAAAGGTCAGTTGAGGGTTGAACAAGACACCTAGGTTTCTGACTGGCTTGGTGAAGTAGTGTGCATCGTTGGATACTGCTGCTTCCAGGCCTGAGGTGCGGAGGCGCTGACACGAGCTAATCAGGAGAGCCTCGGTCTTGCTGACGTTCAACTATAGAAAGTTGGCTCTCATCCAGGACTTGATGTCTGACGGGCGTTCTGTCAGGACATTAGTTATTCTGGGGTCGAGGGTGGAGGCAGAGAGATAGAGTTGGGTGTCATCCGCGTGGAAGTTGAACCCCATGTCATAGAATTTTAGAGCACAGAAGGAGACCATTCGGCCCATCGTGTCTGTGCCGGCGGATGATGTCACCAAGAGGAAGCATGTACATGTTGGAAAGGACTGAGCACAGAGTCCTGAGGAGCACCTCACAAGACGGTGTTAATAATAATCCCTCAAAAAAAAAAAAATTTGGTCACTCAATCTACGACTGTTGTGGGACACTGCGGTATCAAATGCAAGGATTATTATTATTATGGAACGGCAACTAAACTGATTTCAATGATCTCAAGTAAGAGCTTGCAGTTGTGCCTTTTATTACTCAACTCAGTATATAAACCTGCTGTGAATTGTCAAGGACATCCCACCTGAAGTATTGTTAACATTTTAAACTGCAGATAAAATAAATTTGTGGACTCTTTACACAGAATACAGTGGAAAGCAGCAGCAGGTGGATAACAAACCAACAGCGTAAGAGATGGGATGTGAGGGCTCTTAAACTACAGCCTCTCTCACCTGTTCCCAGGTAAAGTAATAATAACTTATTCCTTTTGGTGGAGAAGTGTTTTAGTGCTGCTCTGTTAAATTTTACATCAAATTGTACTTGCTTACCCAGAAGCATTAGTAATATCTTAAGTTATTTGGTAGCTATATCAAATGCATGATTATTATTACAATTATTATGGATTGTGTAATGTATTCAGTTATTTGTTTCTGCGTAAGTTGCAGTGTAATATGATCTGAAAATCTGGTGAATAATTCACTTAGCATGAGCAAACAAAGTTGATAGAAAAAAGTTTTGTATTTATTCCTTAAAATGCCTATTTTCCACTTAAATGGAATTGAACATCTCTCCCAATTGTCCCGGACATGCTGTATTTCATTATTAAAAATAATTGGACCACCTATGATGATTCCGAATTCTTTGCTTCTTTTATTTCAGTGACATTGAGATTTCCAGAGCACAGACTCCGAAAGCGATTGAAGTACTTGCCAAAGAGATCGGGTTGCTTGCTGGTGAAATAGAAAGCTTTGGAAGAAATAAAGCCAAAGTAAAACTCTCTCTTCTTGAGCGGCTGAAGGAACACCCTGATGGAAAATACGTATTGGTCGCTGGGTAAGAAAATACTCAGTGCTGCACATTTCTCTTCGATTTCATGACTGGCTAACATTTTATTTCAAGCATTCTTCTGCTGTACTTAACATTAGCAAGTGGCCTCATGTTGGGGTGCAGAGTTCTTAAGACTCTCGACCTGATGAGCAAGGCTTATGCTCATATTTCATAGAATTGTCTACAGAGAAGAGCTGTACAGAAGTATGAAGGTGTTTGGGGGTGGGAGGAGGGTTGGATTGTGTGGGTAATTGTACCCCTGTGTGTATCAGAAAAAGTGTACGTCTCTATCAAAACTGGTGGAAATTGGTAACCACTTATAAAATGCAATCATTACACTTTAGAGTAAATCCTGTGAAGCATTTTGAGACAACCTCCTGATGTGAAAGGCTCTATATCAAATACAAGTATTACTGTATGGAATTCTCCCGAGTGTGGAAGAATGGGGATGACGGGGTTGAAAGCACAACAACTCGGATTTACTCAATTTACAAGCTCCCTTTACTCAGGATCGCGTCTCATAGCGCAGAACAGTTTTAAAAATGAATCCAATTACTAGCGTTGTTTCACTGATCATGATTCTACCTTTACTTTCTCCTAGCTGCTACAATTGTTTGATTTCCGGTTGGGGGGGTGGGAAGCCTTTTTTAAAAAAAAACCTTCTTCCCTCAATTTTGGAATTGGTTTTCTTGTTTTTAGAAGAAAAATGAGTGTTAATTTTTTAATAATATGAACGTTTTTCTCTCTATTTAATTGTTTGTCAAGTCCAACTAATTTTGATAACCTTGAATGAAAACAGGGGCAAAAGTTAGACAATCTGTGTTTTCAAAATGTTTGTACTTTTTCAATTGAACATTTCAAGCTAGTCAATCAGTCCTTAACCTGGGATTATTATTTTTTTTAACAAGTAAAGCTTCCATATTGAATTTAATGTTCCTACATGGTTTTGGCCTGAGTTAAACAATCTGATGCCCCCATGATCTAGAGAAGGGAAAATTGGCCTTAGTTCCCATTCTTAACTGTTATCCAGTGACCCCTGTTGGTGAATGCTCGTAAGTGGATATTTATTGAGGTTGGGACATGGCTCAGCACCAATCTCTTCCCAGGACTGAATAATCTGTTGATTCTTTCTATCTCAGTTCTCTTGGGTGATGGGGAACAGTCGTGCGATAAATTGAGCCTCTCTCCGAGGTGCCACAAGTTGTGATTCAGTGTAGGTTGTCACCATTTTCCTCCCTTTTCTCCTGGTATGTTGATGAATTGTGAGTGGTCATGGTTAATGTCTTGCGTTGAAGTTTCCAGCTGCCTTGTGATGTGAAGATTATCGGTTCAGAAAGCAAGTGAAGCTCCTGTTACTAAGCAAATTGCTGTTGAGGAGATGCTCTGTAACTCCCATTGTTCTTGGATGGGAGTGAATAATGACTCTTGAACCGTTATTAAGATATTGTGCAATCAACTTTGGAAAAAAATGATAAAGCTGGAGACTGTTGTCTTTATGGAAATTCTTGTCACAATTTAATTTGTGCTATTTAGGTTGCTGTTTCCATTTTCCTCTTCCTGTTGCTTTACATTTTGTGGAACTATCTGATAATAATAATAATCCTTGCATTTGATATAGCGCTTTTCACATCTTCTCGATGTCTCAAAGCGCTTCACAGAATAGACTGTAAAGTGAATTGACTGTATATTTGTGGGCGAACGCGGCAGCCAATTGCGCACAGCAGTGTCCCACAAACAGTCGTGGATTGAAAATGACCAATTTATTATTGTTTTTGGTTTTTGAGGGATTATTATTAGGTTTGTGGAGTAAGGAAACTTGCCCAAGGTTTCGCCCTGCCTGGAATTGAACCCAGGTCTCTCGCTTGCAAGGCGAGTGCTCAAACCACTGAGCTACAGGGGGCCATGTGAATAGTGGGTCATGTAAACTAATTTGAGGCATCAATGTTCCACTTAACATTGCTTTTCAAGTCGTGCCATGGAATCTTTAACATCCTCCAGAACAGACAGACAGACTCTTGGCTTAATGTTTCATCTGAATGATAGCACCTCCAGAAATGCAGCACACCTCCAGCACTGCGCTGAAATGTCAGCATAGACGGAGTTCAAAGCTCGATTTGGGGCTTGAATCCACAACCTTCTGACTTGGAGGGAAGAGGGCTGCCAACTGAGCCAGCTGTAATCTCTCCAGTGATTTTTTTTAACCTCCCATATTAACCCAAAGCAAAGAGATTAGGAAGGAGATACCTATGATAGTGCCGAGCAAGGCAATTTGATACATGGACACCTTTAATGGACATGTAAAGCTGATTTTTGCCTCCTCGTGCAGTACAATACTGTGATGTTCTGTTGACCTGTGCTATCAACACTGTAAATGTGATAGCCCAGGTGTCATCCTACTGAAAAGATTTAAATGTGTGCTTTTGTAGCCTCGCGTCCCAGCTATGCATTCTAGCGAAAAAATGTCAATGTTTGCCGTTATTGCCCAGGGACATCAGTTACCTGAGTATTATAGTGCAATTTAATCCTTTGGATGTTAAAATGATTATGAACATCTAATGCAATCACGTATGCAGTTGCTTTTTTTTAACCTCTAAATTAACCAAAGGGGTGAGAAGGAGAGAAGAAAACCCGAAGATGTGCTTTTGCTGATTGAAGTTGATTCTGTCTTCTGGTTTCATTGTGTAATAATCTTGGATGGTATTTATCTCTAATCTTGAAACACATCAGGTGTTGTCCATTACTGCAATAATACCTTGAATCATTGGCTTTTAGAACATAGGAGTTATTAGTCCCAGCAAGTCTGTTCTTTTTCACTAGCCCCATTTTATCTGCCTTTTCACTGCAGTGCATCCCTCAATTATATCTCACCAGAAATTCAACTGATTTCTTCCCGAACCAATGTAGAATGTCCATCCCCTGGTAACTTATTTCACTGTTCTATTAGCAAGTAGTTTAAAAATCCTTTTTGCTTCAGACTAACATGTTTATTGGAATGCTCACAGTTCCCAAGGACTAAAAAAGGACTGCCAACTTTGAAGCATTTCTCTGGTGTAATTCTTATCTAGCTATTAAATATCCTTGTTGAATTTTGAGCCTCATTGGAATTTATGAATACTGAAAGACACCATCATCAACATTTGATCTCTTGCATGTCCTTCACTGGGTCAATAACCAACTCTGACTTCAACAGATTTCTTTGTGTCTTTCACAGGCAAACCAATAGCCATCACATTTTACCTTTGGGAGCTTCACTCTTAGTTTTTCTTTATTTTTGGCATTCTTAGTCAACAAAGCTGTCTTAGACAAACTTGGTTTCCTCTTTTGGGCCAACCCACCTTTTCACTGAATAATATCAGCCCAATTCCATCCAAGACTTTAATATTACTTCCCTATGTAATGGGCTATTTTTGATGGAATACAAGAAGTCTTGTCATCTGAAAGGCATTCCTTCTCTCCTCTGATCTCATCATCTCCTGTCCTCCACCTGAGTTTTTCCTTTGTTTTTCTTTCCCCAACCCCTTTTCTGATTGTCTTTACAATCTATTCCCTTCCAACATCCCCCAATTCTGACGAAAGGTCATCAACGTGAAATGTTAACTCACTTTCCTCTCTCCATAGATGCTGCCTGACCTGCTGAGTGTTCCCAGCGACTTCTGTTTTATTCCTTCTCTTACCTCTGGTACCAGCCTTTCAATCTAGTAGAACCCTTCTGTATCTTTTTCTATTTTATTGATCCTACCATAGTCATTAATCCTTTGAAACTTGGGTTCTTGTTTTCTCCAAAATTATTTTTGTCCAAGTTGGTTAATAAAAGATACAAAACAATTGCACAAATTCTGCTTGTGTGTATTATCACTGATCTATACGGACTCTCTCAATGTTAACGTTAATCTCAATGTGATCTACATCACACGGGGTAGCCCATTAAGGAGGTAACTAAATTGCTCAATATAAGTAATGTCATCCTTTTTAACACGGCATTTATACTTTTGTGTTGTGCAGAATTACACCTACTCCTCTTGGTGAAGGCAAGAGCACAGTAACTGTCGGTCTGGTTCAAGCTTTAGGTGCTCATCTAGGTATCAATTCTTTTGCATGTGTACGACAGCCATCCCAAGGACCAACTTTCGGTGTTAAAGGTACCTGCAACAAACACATGCCTCTATCACGTATATGTTATTTTATATTATATATTCTTTCAGAGAAAGAAAGAGGTATAAGACCATATCTTCCTGCCTAATAATAATAATAATCAAATGCAAGGATTATTGTTATTCGGCAGGAAGATATAGTCTTGTACATCTTTCTTTCTCTGAAAGGAGAGCTGTATTTCAGTTCACCATTTTATTGCGCTTATTCATACCCATTTGGGGTGCTTTAGTTTGGAAAAATCTTGAATTATTAGTAAAATGATCCTTGCATGTGGAAATTCGAGCAACTACAAGTGTAATACAGTAGAACCCTGGTAACTCATTGGTTTTGGGTCCATAAACCCAAATATTGCTTTGTACAAAGCCAAACTGCAACATCACGATAATAATAATCCTAGCATTTAATATAGCACCTTCGAGACGTCTCAAAGTGATTCACAGAATATACTGTAAAAGGAATTGACTGTAGTTTGTATGCTAAATGTAAACTATATTTATATTTCAAAATATATTTTTCACTCATGACACCACACAGCCTGAAATTCCACCTAGTTTTAGCCTGTTAAGACCATTGAGCAGAAATGTGAAAAATTCTTAGATCCACCCACTTCTAGATCAAAACTGAATTCAAGAATTTTCCACAATTGAGTACCATTTTAAATGTTAAGCAAAATGGTCTTAGAGGATAAGACTAGGTGGACTTGAATGCCTCATCACCTGGGCCAATAGAAAAGCGCGGAAATATTTGCCAAAAATTGTGGGGCATTTGACAAATTTCATAGAATCATACAATTATACAAGGAGGCCATTCAGCCCATCGTGTCTGTGCCAGGTCATCGAAAAGAGCAATCCAATTCAATCAATCCCACTCCCCCTCTGTCTTCCCATAGCCCTGCAAACTTGTCCTCCCCAAATAATTATCTACTTCTCTCTTAAAAGTTGCTATTGAATCGGCTGCCACCACCCTTTCAGGCAACGCATTCCAGATACAAACAACTCGCTATGTGAAAAACAATTTGCTCACCTCCCTTCTGTTTCTTTTAACAACTATTTTAAATCAGTGTCCTCGGGTCCCCGACCCACCCGCCAGTGGAAATAATTTCTTCTTGTTCACCCTATCGAATCCCCTCATAATTTTGAAAACTTTTATTAAGTCTTCTCTTAACCTTTTTTACTCCAAGGAGAATAAACCTAGCTTCCCTAGTCACTCCGGATAACTGAAGTCCCTCATTCCTGGTACCATCCTGGTAAATCTCCTTTGCACCCTCTCCAATGCCTTGACATCCTTCCTCAAGTTTGGTGCCCAGAACTGAACACAGTACTGTAGCTGAGGCCTAACCAGGTTTTATAAAGGTCTATAATAACTTCCTGGCTTTTGTATTCTGCGTCTCTATTTATAAAGCCCAGTATCCCATATGCTTTTTTAATAGCTTAACCTACGTGTCCTGCCACCTTCAATGATTTACTTATATGAACCCCCAGGTCTCTCTGTTCCTTCACTTCCTTTAAAATTGTACCATCAGCTTATATTGCATCTCCTCATTCTTCCTCCCAAAATGCAGCACTTCGCATTTCTCCACATTAAACTTCATCTGCCACCTGTCTGCCCATTTACCAGTCTGTCTATGTCTATTTGCGGTCTGATACTATCCTCCTCACAGTTTACTACATTTCCTAGCTTAATATCATCTGCAAACTTGGAAACTGTAGTTCCTGTACCCAAGTCCAGGTCATTTATATAGATCAAAAACAGCAGTGGTCCCAATACTGATCCTTGGAGGATACCACTGCAAACGTCCCTCCAGTCAAAAAAACAACTGTTCACCAGCACTCTCTGCTTTCTGTCTCCCAGCCAGTTCTGTATCCGTGCTGCCACTGTCCCTTTAATACTGTGGGCTTCTATTTTGCTTACAAGTGTCTTATGTGGTACTTTATCAGATGCCTTTTGAAAATCCATATAAACTACATCAACTGCACTACCTTCATCCACCCTTTCTTTTACTTCATCAAAAACTGTATCAGGTTTGTTAGACATGATTTGCCTTTAACAAATCTCTGTTGGCTGTCCCTTATTAACTCATATTTTTCTGAGTGATGTTGTCGAAATTTTGCAGAGAAATTTGGTAAATGTTATGAAAAATTGCGGAGGGTTGTTTAATGCTGTTGAGAGATGCATCTTGTGAAACAACCCAGATTAAAACTATAGGCATATATTTCCTGAAAATGTAGTTATGTTTGTAAGACTAAAAATGCTAATGTGAACAGTACAACACTTACCAAGAATTGGTCACAGGAGCTCAGTTTAGGCCACGGGCAAAGCCGATTTTCCTCTGGCGCCATTTCCACCATCTCTAAATTCCCTGCATACGCAACCGGAGCCGCTCCACCCACAGTGGCAGTGTTGGGGAGGTTGTTGCGCATTTATGGCGAATTCCAAGGAAAAGTGTTTTTGCACTTTTCTATTGGCCCAGCTCATCGCAATTGGCTGCGTGTTTCACCCACAAATATACAGTCAATTCACTTTACAGCATATTCAGGTGAAGCGCTTTGAGACGTCAAGATGATGTGAAAAGCGCTATATCAAATGCAAGAATTATTATTATTATTAACGCCAACTAGGTCTAGTGAACACGTTTTTTTTAAAAAGCCAGTAAGCGATCGGCAAAATCTTGTCGAAATAGCATCTAACTTAAGTGATGTATGTCAACAGGTGGAGCTGCGGGGGGAGGATATGCTCAAGTCATTCCTATGGAGGAGGTAAGACACTGCCGATGTCCTCTTAATTATCGTGAAGCTACAGAAGGGTGGAGAGATAGACTACCTCCATTTCAATCTACTAAAATCTATTTGAAATCACTTACAATAGTAAATAGTTTTAGAGCAGAAACATTTACTTCGAGATGATTCTTGCACATTCAACACCAACAACAACTTGGATTTATATTGCATCCTCCACACCGGACGGCGTCTCAGAGCGCTTCACAGTAACAATACAATGCTGAAGCCGAGCCAGGGGGAGGGGGAGTAGGGTGACCAAAGGCGCGGTCAGCCTAGACCTGAAAATAGGAAGAGAGGGTGCGAGGCAAAGGGAGTGAGGAAGGGAGTTCCAGAGCCTCGGGGCGTAGTGGCTGAAGTCACGGCTGCCGATGGTGGAGGGGAGGATTCCAGGGACAAGGAGGCGGCCAGACCCGCTGGAGCGAAGGCAACGGGCCAAGTGCTTAGTTTATTGCTGATGAAGAACAGGGAATGTGTGCTCAGCTGTTTGTCCCTTGAAAACTCTAGTAGTGGGAAAGACTGAATCGATTCGTACCATCTACATTTATACTGCAGAGTAAATCAAGATCACATCCACACACGTTTATAGCAATCCTCAAGTTTTCACATTAAAATTGATTACCGTAATTTTTTTTATGGGTTATGCCCAGCTGATGACTGCTGAAGCCCTGCACTGCTTTGGCTTTGAACCTATTCCTACCTGTCTGTCTACTCTGCTTCAAGATTAAATAAACCAAGCTTTCAATTTTATGCTTGTTTTGCCTTGGAAGTCCAAATGTTTGCTCTGGCACAGAATTGCTTTCCAGTTTTGAGATGAAGCTTGCTCATAAATGTCAGGTTTTTAACTGAGGATTTATTTAGGTCTTAGAGAAAGCTTGATCAAAATGTGTGAGGTGGTCACCTGGACTACTACAATGACTGCTTTTTGGCCATTGAATATAATGCATTCTGATACAATTTTTTTTTGCAAAATTGCTTGAGAAGCCTTGTTTGGCAATAAAATTGTCTTGCCTTTCAAATTATCCTCCCGGTTGATTCAAATTGAGCAGTCCGAGAGACTTTACTGTTGAAGAACCTTTTTTCTATCAAATAATATGATATATGAAGATCTTGACAGATTGCTTGGTAGGACATCTGCCAGTCTGAGTTAGCTTGGTAATAATAATAATAATAATAATAATAATCCTTGCATTTGATATAGCGCTTTTCACGTCGGGAGGACGTCCCAAAGCGCTTCACAGAACACACTGTAAAGTGAATTGACTGTATATTTGTGGGTGAACGCGGCAGCCAATTGTGCACAGCAATGTCCCACAAACAGTCGTAGATTGGTAGACACTGAAGAAGCAAAATCCATCAAATTCCAAGTTCCCTGTTTTATTTCTCTTCATTTTAGTAACATTTCACTCTGTTGCTCTGCATTTTACAAAATCTGCTGCAGCTTGTGTTTTATCAATAAAAAAAAACTTGGACTTCCTACAATATGACCATCCTACCCATCCTATAGTCAAGTATGTTTATTACAAGAAAAGGGTAGATGGTGAAGGCTGTATCATGAATGCAACTAGAATATCTAATGTAAGAATTACATTCAATGGGAAATGTTGGTATATTTGATAATGGGTTTATTTTTGTGTGGCAGTTCAATCTTCATTTAACCGGGGACATTCATGCTATTACTGCTGCCAATAACTTGCTGGCTGCTGCTATCGATGCCAGGATTCTGCATGAAGCCACTCAATCTGACAAGGTGAGTGAGGACATAATGCTATTTTTTTCTCTAAAACTATGTCATTTCTTTATCATGCTGTTTGCTTTTGTGATCTGACAGAATTGAACATGTGTTAATAAATCTTCAAGCTTTGCAATTTTTCTGATATCTTCCTCCTCCCCGAACACCACAATATTGGATACTGTGAGAATGCCCTAATATACGTTACCGGAACTTGGTATTGAAGAACTACATTTTTTCCCCTTGCATTGGGTACAAACGCATAACCAACTTTCCATAGCATTGTGTTTTGGGATGAACAAATGAACTGGTTGGGGCAAATTAACAGTGCGACTGAACTTTGCGAAATCTTGTGTTGCCTTTGAATATGGTATGAAAGCATAAACCTTCAGCCACGGTCTTCAAACATAATTTTGAAATAACCCTGTAGTTTGGAAATACGCTCATTAATAAGGAGCATAGTTGAGTCATTTAGTTATTGTAATTTATGTTTTATGTTTTCCCAGAAAACGCTACCCAGTTGCTCCACTTTATAGTATATCCTGTGATGCACTTTGAGACTTTGAAATGGTTGAAACTAAACCATTCAAAAATGTTAATATTGTACCTTAGAACCAAAGATGATTATCACCACTTGATAATCACGCCACTGGCTTCCCAACACTCAAAAGGATACAGTTCAAGATCCCTGTCCTCACCTTCAAAGGCCTTCATGGCCTTTCTCCTCCCTATCTCTGTGATCTCCTAACCTTCTACCAACTTGCCTGCTCCCTCCGCTCAGTGGGCTCTGGTCTGCTTCATGTCCCCCGCCTTGTCTGCCCCGCCATTGGTGGGCGGGCCTTTAGCCACTCTACCCTCACCTTCTGGAAATCCATCCCACAGTCCCTCCACCTCGGCCTCCTCCCTCGCCTCCTTCAAGACCCACTCAAGATCCTCCTCTTCGACCGTGCCTTTGGTCACCCTCCTACCCCTTCCCTTCCCGCCCACCACACCTCCTGATCCCAACCACCAGATCGGGTACGGATCCCTGACAGTCCAGTGCCTTGGGATGTCCTCCTGACGTAAAAGACGCGATACAAATGTAATTTACGGTTGTTGTTATTTTTCAGGCTTTGTATAATCGTCTGGTTCCCACCATCAATGGAGTGCGACAGTTTTCTCCCATACAGCTTGCCCGGCTTAAAGTAAGCAAAATTGTTTTATTGTTCTTTCCCTCATTTTTCAATCCATCTTTTACCCTTCTCTGACATTCAAGTATGCTGCAAGTTTTGACTTCTAAATGGTGCCAAATTGCTGTCGAAATTGCAATGTGTTTTCAATGGTCCCGAGGAAATGGTTTCACCAGCGAAGTAACTCCAGTCTAACAGCAGACAAAACAAATATGTTTGGTCTCTACTCAAGAAATAGCCTGAAATCATTCTTAAGCTCTTTTTGTTTTAATGAAAAGCCACTATTATTCAAAGGGACTTCTGTTTTAAATGACTATTTGTTTTACATTAACTATTCCCTTTAGTATTTAGAATTGGTCATTCACTTCATGGTTGTTTTCACCTTGCTATGTGCAAATTGGCTGCCACGTTCAGCTAAAATAGTCACTACACCTTAAATCCTATGATGATCTTTGAACCATTTTGCTGATATGATAAGGGGCAATATTAAAATCAAGGACTATTTTGTGATTATGGCTGGTCAAATATATCGATCCATTTAAAACCCATTGTAGAAATGTAGCAATTGGTAACCAAGTTGGAAAGAAGATAAGTGGTTTGAATGACAACCCCGTATTACATTTGTGTTTGTTTAGCTCTGTTGAATTAAGTAGAATTGTTTTTCCTTTTAGGTGGTAATGTACACTTAGCTTGTATTATATAGCAGCCATACTGTACAGCAACTTTGATTTGTGGGAGTCCATGGTTTTGCCAAGATAAACCATATTTGGCGGTGTCATTTTTTTCCATAAAATATAAGTTGAACGACACAATCTAAGTAGTTTGCTGAATTTATGTAACTTTTTCCATATGTGAGTTTAGGTGTGTGCTGACTGTTTGAGTTGTGATGTATGTTCCTGTCAAAATATATTCAATATGAATTGGCTACAATTAATTCTATTAGATATCTTTGTTGTAATTGTTTTTGATAACCAATTGGTAATGTATTTTCATTATTGAATCTTGTATATTTTTAACTGGCAGCGTGTGCGAGATGTCCACATGTGTTTGTTAACCAGTTGCACGTGTGTATTCACTAGTGTTTATATATTTTCCTCCATAGAGACTGAGAGTTGACAAAAGTGACCCAAGCACGTTGACACCAGGTGAAGTCAGTAATTTTGTGCGTTTGGATATTGACCCATCAACAATTACCTGGCAAAGAGGTATTAAAAACTAAGGATAAAGCAACCACAGAAATGTAATCAAGCTTTGTGGGGTGGAAGAAACTTTGTGATACTTAGGCTTCAATTTTTGGTCTGCACTTACTGCTGAAGTTAAAGTATCCTCATGTGCTATCCCTTTTGATATATGAATTTAGTCATAAATTTACTTTCCAGGGCATAGGATGTGTTTCTCTTAGTCATGGTGGAATCACAGTTTATGAACGGTTGGGTCCTGAGCTGCAAGTTTAGTATACTTAATATAAATTGTGATACATTAAGTTGCTCAAACTCTCAGAGAGAGCCAGTAGGTGGCATTTTAGCAGTTTTCAATATTAATTTAACCTGTTCACATCCAGTTTAATACTTGTTCTTATAAAAAGTTTGAATGCCTTGCTTCAGATTCTATCTTGTAAATTAATCCAGGCATCATATCTGGACAAAGTTTCTGTCGTTTGTCCAGGTGTCAGCCTGACTCTCGCTTCTCGTCAAAAGGTTGTGGGTTTAAGACACAACTTGGGCTTTTGAGCTCATAGTCTAGGTTGACTTGGGCTTCGTGTCAATTGCGTGCACTGGTGCGTGCTTGGGGTGTGTTGCATTGTCAGAGGTGCCATCCTTTGAATGAGATGTTAAACTGAGGTCCCATCTGCCTGTTCATGTTGATGTTAAAAATCCCATGATGCTATTCAGAAAGAGAAGAACGTTTCTCCCAGTGACCTGGCCAACAATCCCCCAGATTAAATTGGTTATTCATTTCATGGCTGATTAAGAGGCATTGTTGAGCGCAAATTGTAGAGTACACGTCACAGTAAATCCCATGAAGGGCTTGAGACGTCTCGACAACATAATGAAGGACTATATCAAAGGCAAGGATTATCATATCATCGAATTTACAATGTCCCTTTTCCTAAGTGTCCCTTTAGCTGTTGATCTCTTAAATAATAACGATCCTTACATTTGATAGATTGCAAAATGCAGTGACTGAATTTTGTGGGCAAACACAGCAGCCAATGTCCCCTGCACAACCATGAAGCGAATCATCAATTTTACCTGGGGGTTGTTGGCCAGGATAGCAGGAGTAACTTCTTTCTTTTTTCAACTAGTGCCATAGGGTCTACAATGTACACCTGAAGAGGCCTACAGGGTTTAACATCTCACCCGAAGGAAAACACCTCAAACAATGCAAACAATACAATTGATTTAGCACCTTTCATGTTGGGGTGGGGGGATATAATAATAATAATAATAATAATAATCCTTGCATTTGATATAGCGCTTTTCACGTCGGCAGGACATCCCAAAGCGCTTCACAGAACACACTGTAAAGTGAATTGACTGTATATTTGTGGGCGAACGCGGCAGCCAATTGCGCACAGCAATGTTCCACAAACAGTCATAGATTGAAAATGACCAATTTATTATTGTTTTGGGTTCTTTGGAGGGATTATTATTAGGCGTGTGAAGTAAGGAAACTTGCCCAAAGTTTCGCCCTCTGCCTGGAATTGAACTCAGATCTCTCACTTGCAAAGCGAGTGCTCTAACCACTGAGCTACAGGACTCCATCAAAACGAGATATATCTCAAAACGCTTTGGCAATGCTGGCTGAACATCCTAGTTGGGACAACATACCCCAGCACTTCATTGGTGTATCAGAGTAGACTGTATAAGTTCTGCCCCCCCCCCGGCACTGCACTCAAATGTCAGCCTAGACTAAATTCCTAGTCCTGACATGGGATTGAACCCACAACCATCTGACCAAGATGTGAGAGTGCTCCCAACTGAGCCAGGCTGACACTTATCTTGTAGAATCGAGAAGTGAACAGAATGCTCTGATTTAAACAGCTGGGAAGGAATTCCACCTAAGTCCAGTCAAACTCTATTTGTGTAGCATTTTAGATCATCCAGTATTTGGTATATTGTTGAATTCAGTTTTGAAGCTTTGTTTTAATAATTTTTTCAAGAACTACAGAAAGTCGACTTCAAAATTATGATTGAAATCAACAATTGCCAAATTCTAGCAGCTATATTAATAGTGTAAATCTAGAGCCACTGGGATTTCTCCCAAAGAGTGGTGAATATGTGGAATAGACTTATCAGTGGAGATGATGAAAGCAGATTATTTCAGCATCCTTAAATTGTGGATTCAGTAGCTATTTTGTGAAAAATCTCTCCAGGCATGAGATTTGCATAGGCATATTTATTATTTTTAGTAGTATGTTTATTATCTATGGCCAATTGCAAACACTTCAATTGACAACACTGTGTTCTGAACTATATTTTGACATTATAACTCAGGGACACCACTTTGCATGAAGGACACTATAAAAGCAAGTTGTTGTATAGGTGTTCTATTTAATGTAGGTATTTTTAAGAATTTGTTGCTATATTTCCCTCCCACATTCACCAGACAAATGGTTTCCTTAATTATTTACCAAATACAAAGCAGCTTCTTTTTAGTTGTGTGGATTGGAAAGACCGAACTCCTAAGACATTCATCCCATTGATGCTTATCTATATATAACTATTATTAGTTAAGGTTTCTTCAAACTGAGTCCTCTTTATTTGCGTCGATGTTTTGTTCTGTACTTAAAGTAATGTATGCTGTACACTGTCCAGCGCCTTGGGACATCCTCCCGACGTGAAAGGCGCTATACAAATGTAATCTTGTTGTTGTTGTAAGTTGTGATCATTGTCTTTTGCAGTGGTTGACACAAATGATCGTTTTCTGCGTAAAATAACAATTGGACAATCAAGTACAGAGAAAGGATTTATCCGAGAGGTAATGAACATTTCACATGGTCATGTACGGATCCAGTTGGCAGCTTTTTTGGAACGAGTCAAAATATTCTCGTCTTCATTTGACCTATGTATTATTTATTATTATGGGAAGACAGAATCCCGGTGAAAGAATTATGCGTCAACTCGGGAGAGGGGGGAATTCTGTTTTGCGTACAGTTGTGCTTCTTTTGATCTAAGATGTAAAAGATCTGAAATTCTGGGCTCTGTTTATGATTCATGAGGTTTGTTCAGTAAATAGTTGAGCCTCAAATATTTGCTGGGTGACTTAATTGCAGCAAAGAGCAGCAGCAGTAGTAGTGGTGCTTTAATTGGCTTGTGTCCTTGGGTCAGAGAACGGAAAATTAGAAGTATCCCATTCCTGATCTGTAAACAGTGACTTTCTCTTTTCCCCCCTTTCCCTGGGAGATTTTTTTGTGTGTATATGTGGGTGCATATTGCACATTGGGATGGTTAGTCTGTAATGAGGAAATATGGTCCAACAGCATTCTCCTTCTCAGGGATCTGGATTAAATAAAAATAATCCTTGCATTTGATACGGAGCCTTTAACGTCTGCATCGAAAGAAGGAGAGGTCACTCTGGTGCTTGCATTATTTATCACTTTCATCACAAATCATCAAACTCAAGCACTTTTTAAGGAAAGCAATTCACCTGGAAGCATTCAAAAGGTAGTGGGGTCTAACCACCAAATTTTGTTTCCTGGGATTCCTTAAGGGCAGTTTCCACTAAAGTTAGAAGTTTGGTGTGATGTGCTTTACCAGAAGGAGTCCCTATTTGAGTCACTTGGATTGCTAATCCTGTTAAATTAGACTGATTCAAATAAAATTTCCTCATTAGTTTTACAATTGTACAGCTGTTTGTGGGACATTGTTGTGCACAATTGTGCTGCTGCATTCCCCCACAAATACACAGATACTCCACAGTAAATCCTGTGAAGGGGTTTCCTCCTGGCATGAACGACACTATATCAAACAGATTATCATTACTATTATTTTGTAAAGTCTTGGATCACTGCTCTAAGCAAACTGCCTAGTAGATTGTCAGCTAAAATTCTACTCAAGTATCTGATCACTTGATTATCCTCTCTCTCCCACCCCTCCTCCCCCGAACTGCTTGGGTTTGACAGTGGCCAAAAATAAGTAATTAGACAGGCAGACAGCGATTTTTCCAGTGTTTTTGTGTTTGGGACATGGTGAAGCAACTTTGCTTTGTTTAAATAAATAGTATTTTCCTGAATGTTAGTGCATGGATCAAATGAGCCACTGGAGAATTGTTTGATAAAGTAAACTGATCATATAAATTGCTAAAGAGTGTTATTAAAAAATGTTAACTTGCTGTTAGCTGCATGTCACAGTATTTTGATCAAATTTAGGATGCAGAAACTTTTAGTCAAATAATTTTAACATAGGTTATTTCCATTCGAATGATTTTCCTTCAAGTTTTCGATCACAGACTATTATGAGATTTTCTTCCCTGAGCCATTCTATGGTTAAGACAACAAATGTTGTTTTTCAATAATATTAATTCCTTTCTCCAACTATGGTATGATTTTATGCGTGCTGGCAACTATCCAGTGCTGCAAACAGTCCTCCACTGGCGTACCCAACGGGTCTAGAGAACAATGTTTCTGTCCAACCACGCAGGGGCCAAGAACAAATGTTATCCTTGCCCAATGTCCACATACAACAGGGATTGCTGGATAAAGATCAAGATCGGAAATCCTGGCTGAATTCTCTTCACTACCTGCCAAGAGACCATTGCAGGACCCCTACTGTTGTTCCAGTTGAGATCAGCTAGGTTGGGCAGCAAAACAATTCTCTCATACAGACTTGAAAACTGCCCTGAGACTACCAGCAAAGTGACTACAGATGGTCATGAATGGTTGAACCTGAGTTCTGGGTAAAAGCCTGAACTATGAGCTGGTGGGCAGTGAGAATAATTGGTGGGCAGTAAGGCATGTGATGAAACATCATATTCCTGTCTGCAGAATTGTTTTGGAGAAGGGAGGGTGATTGAGACGAGGAGATATCCATTTTGGTCTTAGGGTCATTAGGGATAATTTCTGGTAAAAGATATTACTAAACCACATGTTTCTTACATTTACAATCTTGCACTCTCTCAATTGAGGATTGGAATGAGTTCTATTTGATTAGGTAGGCAGGGCCTTTCTGTATAAACCTTCAGGGTGTTTAGAGCCAGGTTGCCTGGCATTTCTCTATGCTTCAGAAAAGTCTGTATGTTTTCTTTGATTGTTGTAGGTCTCATAACTGCTATAGGATGAGAGACAGTTTCCTCTGTCAGATAATTCCCCTCTGATCTTGCTTGGATTTATAATTTACCAGGCCCGGCGCAGCATGGAGTTCAGGTTATGGGGATAATTTCTGTGGGGTGTTGGGGGGGGTTGGTGGTAGAAGGGAATGCTAACAACTTAAGAGTTAAGTTTACAATCTTGCACTCTCCTTTCCGAATCGGAGATGGAAATAAATGTCGTCTTTGTCTGTAGGCACGGATGCTTTGTTTTGTTTGCTTTGGAGGCCTTGTATTTCCATTTGGAATGTGCAACCTTCATCCCTCCCAACAGTTTGGGTCAGTTGTGGGAATGGTGCAGTTTCTGAACCAAGTCCTGTGTTCAGGGAGAGTAGCTGATCATTCTCAGCTGTGTTGGGTATCCAGCCATTGTTTACACCATGCATCATTTCTCTTGGGATTTTAGCATTGAGAAATAACATCTTATAATGGTAAATCTGTCTTTGTCTGGATTCCCTCCTCTGTTTCTAATCCAGATAAAATTCCCTCAGTTGCTGTATCTGGGTAGTTTAACAGAATTTGGGTGAGTAATGGAAAAGGAATACATGCAGGGCTTTTTGGTCTGTTTTTTCCCCAATGTTTTGCCTTTATTTTCTCTTTACAGAATATTTGAGTCTGAATTCTTGTTTAAGGATAATGTGTTTCGTCAGTTACATTTACCAATAATGTACAGATTTTGCTAACTAGATTGCAGTAGAAGTTGATTGACTGCTTATTGCTCCAAAAAGAGACACAGGTACAGCACAGACGAGTCGATTGGCTTGTTTTCGTGATGTACCATTCATTTTGTGATGGCCATTATCGACCCTTTACTGTTTGACTAAGGAAATTGGAAGTAATATAGAAGTGTCTTTGCTGTTCCCTTCCTTTATTCCAAGGTAAAATGTCTGCTATGGATTGAGCAAACAAAGAATGATAAGTGAATGTATTCACTGATTTCCTGCTGGGGATTACCTTCTGCTTAATGCATTTAATGCATGAACAGAAATCTCAAGATGATAAAAGCAAACACAACCTGCATATTTAAGTGTTGTCTTTAGTTAATATAAAGTGAATTACAGTCTTGTCTCAGGCTAGGTGTTTGAATCTGCTTTCCTCTGTTCAAGGCTCAGTTTGACATTGCTGTTGCCAGTGAGATCATGGCTATCTTAGCCCTTACAGATGGCCTGGCAGACATGAACAAACGGCTTGGTAATATAGTGGTGGCCAATAACAGGAAAGGACAACCAGTTACAGCAGAAGACCTGGTATGTATTGATTGGAACTGATATCAAAATAACTTTTATTTTTTGAAAGTTAACCTATCCATACCCCCACTCTTTCCAGAATGGCTATTTTTTCTAATTCTATTATTCCCAAATCCATTCCTCTGCACTAAGACTCATCTGATTTCTGCTTGATTTCAATCTTGTCACCATTCCATTTGCTAAAGGTTTCATTTGCCAAATTTGCCAATAGCAATTTTGGAGGCAAAAAAACCTCCTTCACAATACAGTTTACTTTTTTTGCATTTATATCGCCTATTTCACATCAGGATGATGATCAAAGCTTCAGTTCTCTTTAAGCTTCTGTCTCCATCAACATAAATGCCTTTCCAAAATTAAGAGACTCTTTTTATCTTACATTTTGGTGTCTGAATTTAATGAGAACAGTATTCCTTTGCACTCTGAGGGAGATAGATGCTTAAATTTAAATGGTGAACTTGAAGTAAAGGGACTGACTGGCTGAATTGAGGGAGTACTTCCCAAAATTGAATCATTAACCAGGAAAAATACTGGACCAGGACAGGCAGTTGTATCATTTGGTAAAGGAATTGAGCACAGCTATACTGTTAGGCGTTTGCAATGCATCACAAGAGAACAACATAGTTCAATTAAGAGTATTTAATTCAAAGCTATTAAATCTTTGTACCAGTGCTGCTGTTCCTTACTACCTGGCACTCAGTGACTTCAGCTGTCAGAGGGTCAGATGCAGAGGGTGGGAATAGCGGATCGGGAGCACAGAAGTGTTTTGTATTTAATGAACGGTCTGGGTCTAACTCGCTTCTGGATTTCTCACTTGTGAGCTGATATTTTTTTATGACCCGGTTCATGTTCCCGATGGTCCATGCTTTGTGTAAATTGTGCTGCCCCGTTCCGCCCAAAGCTTCATTTAAAAAGGATCTTTGATCATTGCATTGGCGAGGGGTTCATTTGGTTGTGTAATGTCACATTAGATTAATTAATATCCCATTAGAAAGAAGACCGGGGAAGGGAAAACCAATTAAAACCTAATTGTGTGATGGAAAAACAGATGGAAGTTCTGAATCTTTCATGATTTAAAAGGTTTTTTTTCATGTTATTGCTTCAATTAAATACTTATTCTCTTTGAACAGAATGTACAATCATGTAACCAGTTGAACTCATCCTTGCACACAGTGGCATGTTCACTGTGGACTGAAATATAAATTTGTCAATGCATTACAAACACAATTCATTCTTGTTTGTCCATCAAAATCTCTCAAATAGTTTGAATTAATTGCTCTGTTTAAGGAAATGTAGAGCTTGTTGAATGTCCCTGATAGCCTCTATGTTATGCAGAGAGGTATTTGTTTGCTGATTAATGTCAATCATCCTTTGTTAAACAATGAACCATTGGTTGGAGGGTGAGCAGAGATTTTGTAAAGAAATCCTCCTCACATGACCTTGTCAAGGGAGACTGTTGCTGTAACCTTATGCTTCCTATTTGTGACATTGTTATTTGAATAATGATCACACTTGAAATCAATGGGTGAAATGCTGTGCTTGAACTTGTGACACTCGCAAAGGGACAGGAAGTGCTGACTGACTTTGGTTTAATTTACAATATTTGCGAAACTGCAATTGGCCTGAGTGTTCCTGAACTAAGCTATGGAATTCTGTCTCTTTTCTCTTGTGTTAGCCAAGTGGCCATCTTTTGTTCTTTGTTTTGGGCTGTTTTGATGGAACCACTTTAGCACATTAGATTGAAGTAATGTCTTATGTTCTCTGCATACAGGGGGTTAGTGGTGCTCTCGCTGTTTTGATGAAGGATGCCATTAAACCAACTTTAATGCAAACCCTGGAGGTAAGAGTTTTATTCCAAGAAACAAAATCAACAACTTGTATTTATATCGCGCCCTTCACACCGGACGGAAAACTACAAAACTGAAATAGAAATGTGATTGTGGGAAGCCAATTGTGCTTTGTGTATTTGTGTTTATTCCCAAATCAGAATTTGAGGTTAAGTACAATGGTACAGGTGTTATGCACGAGGTATGTTTTAAATTTTCAAAAAGCTGTTATCAATTTCACACAAAAAAGTTTAAACTAAATTTAGTCCCAGGAAGGACATGGTTGCAAAATAGGAAATAGTGTTTGTGAGAATTGCGATCGACTCCAGCTTTGTTCCTGTAAAGGTTCTTTCAACTAAGAAACTTTCAACATTATTATGGGGGCAATGAATCAAGAAAGGAGAATTTAAGATATGTGTCACCATCCTATCTGTGCTAATTAGGGGCTGTTGTACATAAACCTGTAGAACTGTCAGCTTGTGCTTGGCTCCTGTAACAAGTTATCAGGTTGTGTTAGAAGAGTGATTTGTGCATGTTAAAGGTTAGATTTTTGATCAGACCCTGCCTGGGAATATTAGCCACAGTTCTGGTTACGTAAATATAGGAAGGGTTTTGGAGGAAGCAAGTAAGATCATTCCAGATATCCTGAATTTCAGTAATGAGGGAAACTTAGGAAAGTTGGGATTGTTCTGAAAGAAGATTTTGAGGTGAAGTTTTAGAGATTATGATGACACTATTATTTGAAATTGTGCATATTTAAATATTTGGTAAAGACCCAAATGGGCTCTTCACAAGCACACATCCCAATGACACTTACTGCTGAGACTTGGCAGTTCTAGATAAACAGTACTGCACCTGGAGCCTATTTAAGTGCCCATTGGTAGCTATTGATGAACTTGAGCAATCAGTAAATAAATTGCCACAACTAATGGTTTGATCTTGAAATTTCTGGGGTTTATTATGTATTTCCCTGTTCTACCTTTGTTTTTGTGCTCCAGGACTGCTGCTGAAGAGGACTGCTGAATTATTGGTCCATGGGAATTTTCTATTGTGGCATTTTTCTTTGTTTCTGCCTTAGTTAAAAAGGCAGATTGTGTTTTCACAGATGGAGCTTTGGGCCTGTCAGGGGCAGACGGAGCCAGGAGTCACGATAGCAAAATTTCTTTTAAAATGGAAATTGGTGCTTTATAAAATATTAAAGACAGAACCCATTCACGTGAAGTGATTTGCAGTTAAATTAAACTAATCCTAAGAGAATTAATCTTCATGTTGAAGAAACTCAATTTGTGCTCAGGAGCTTGAGGTTTTACAACGTTCGTGTGACTTTAGTTGCAAAATTATGCAGAAATAAAACTTTGGCTCCGTTGCCAACTTCATACAGTACAGAAATGTCAGTAAATCCAGCCAAAATACCATTCACATAAAAACCTCTTGAAGAGTTTGGGCTTGTTCCCATGTATTCTGTAATGCTTTTGTACTGTCATCTCCCCGATGTTAATATTCAGGGAGTCTAAAACCAGTGTATGCATCCCACCGGCTTTTGTTTTACTGAAAGCATAAGGTATTTAGGTCATGTCTAGATGCTTCTGCATTGCATGGATAGTTGACATGTAAACTGAGCTCCTGCACTGACTATTGTGTACATAGGGGACCAGGCTGTCGTCTTGCTGCTGAAGTACCCATGTCAAGAAATCAATTGCACATTTAGTATGTAATAAATAGGAGTTTTTTAAAAAAATCAATTTGCTCTCTCAATTAGTTATTAAATTAATTCGTTGTTAAAGATTATTCACATTTTTTAATTTGAAATTGGCTAAAATATTAATGCTAGGCTTTGTGCATATCGGCAGTAAATTCCATTTTATTTATTCCCAGTCAAAGGTTAAATTAAGTAAAAATAGAGAGTTGTACAAAAGGTATTTGTGCAAAAAGTATTTGCACAAACAATTTTTTTCATATACAATGGACAATTGTATAAATGGGCTTAAAATGCTAGTAATTGATGTCATATTGTAATTACTGCCAAACCGTAAAAATGGTTCAATTATTCATAATTTTACATTTTAAGGTTGTTTTGAATAACTGAATTGTTTATGGGTGTTAACTGATGCAATTAGCTAGCATCTTGCAGTATTTATGTCCAAAACAACAATTTCTACTTACTGAGCAAACATTTTCAGTGTTCGTCAATTCTTGGCCGGGACACTGGGAGAAACGTTCTTCTCTTTTCGAATAGTGCCATGGAATCTTTTAAGATCCCTGAACAGGCAGACGGACCTCAGTTTAATGTCCCATCCAAAGGATTATAATGTGATCATAATATGATTATAATTGTATGGTATGAAAATTCTCATCTTGAGGCTCTGTCCTCAGTGTGGATGAAAACTACCCTTGATTGGAATTTCAGTTTGTATCTCGAGCTTCAGATTTGGAAAGGGTCGACTTGGGGGCAAAAAAAATCCTTACTTCCACACTGCTTTACTGTGTTCAGATGAGAAGTTAAAATTAATGTCTTAATGCTATTATGATACAATAATAATAATACTTGCATTTGATATCACGCCTTATCATGTCTTCGAGATGTCTCAAAGTGCTTCACAGAATATACTGAATTGACTGTATATTTTGGAGCTAAACGCGGCAGCCAATTGCGCACAGTGGTGTCCCACAAACTGAATAAAATTCGTTTTTTTGGAGGGATTATAATCCCTGGAAAGATATCAGGCAAACGAACAACAACTGGGTTCCTACTACTGCTAGGTAAACAGAGGCATATGTGTGGAATAAGGAAACTTGCCTAAGTTTCCCCCCCCCCGTCCGGGAATTGAACCCGGGTCCTCTCACCTGCAAGGTGAGTGCGCTAACCACTACGCTACAGGACTCTATTGTTTCAGGCCTTCTTTTCACTTGATTTTGCTTCTCGTGACCATAATTGAGTTAAAGTTTTACAATGTAACCTATTTAGTCTCCATTATCCTCCGGCTTTCCAAGAAAGCTGTGATTGATTAAGTATCAGCAAGTGCTTTGAACTGATGGTTCTGAGATCTGCATTTTCGTGTGACGTTTGGACTCTGCTGTAGTCCAACTGGCATCATCCAGATAGATATTTGACCTATGCAAATGACACTTTCTACCAATATTTCATACATCTCTGAATGGAAAGTGAGTTGTAAAGACTGAATACTTTGAACATAGTCCAGCACAAATTTCTGTCTCAATGCCTTCATGCTTTGTCTGGCACTGGTTCTGTTTACATCAGCCTAGCCTGTCTATTATCAACCTACTGTAGTTAAGTGTAGTAAAGGCGTGCCTGAGACAAATTCCATAAATTGGGGACCGGAGATTGGATTCTTAGTTCGTTAAAGCATGACTAAGCATTGCAGGATAATTTAGGTTTCTTGCCTCCTTGTTTCTAAGTTGCACTTTTGACAGAGATGAGAAGCAGGATAGCAGGTGGACAGTTGCCTCAAGACTGGCTTCTCGGACACTAAAGTTCATCTCTCTAGGGTAAAACTTGTGGCATTTCAGAATACATTCATTGTGATTGAAGGGAGGGTAAATTCAAAACTAATCCACAGAAACATTATTTCAGTAAACGATTAGTAAATCTATGGGACAGGCTCCCTAGGGAGACGGTGGAAGCAGGAAGTCTGATTTGTGGAAATGTGATTTCTTTTAGAAAATAATATTTTGAGATGCAGTCAATGAGTAATTTGAGATGTGACGTATAGTAAAGTAAGTGTAGTATGCTTGGAAGAAACAGGCAACTTTGGATGTAAGGTACCTGAAGCTTTCCTCTCTGTTGTAGCCCAATCCAAACAATGAATTGCTCTCTACCAGGATGGCAGAAGGCAAATAGACAGACTTTGGTCTTTTTTTGTCTAGCAATTCTACATCATGTTTCTATTATAATTGTCATTCTTACGAAGCACCACAAATTGTCTCCCAGGTTTTGTTGAAAACTAAAATGAATTATCTTTTTGGACTACCCTTGGAAGGAAGCCTTTTAAGGGCTGACCTTTCTTTCTCTCACTCTTCACACACGTGACTATGTACAAGTTATTTCTGCCTCAGGTCTCTCACCCATGTCACTTCAGTGGTGGGCTCATCACATAGCTCTTTTGATTAGTTTATCACATCTGTCCGGTGAGACTCCCCCACCCCCACTTAATTGTAAATCTGCTCTACCATTCCATTGGTATGTGTTAAAAGGGTCAGAAAAACTCCTCTCCGCCAAAAGCCATAAGTTACCTATAAAAGAATGGAATGTACTTTGGCCTTGCTCCCAAAGGTGGTGCCAAAGTTCCATCTCTTTCTACATGTTGTCAAACCATCGTTCGTTCCTCCTGATCACTGGACACTTAAAGGATAGCTTATGGCTGTCCAGGGTCTACAGAGCTCCATGCTGCTATCTAGATCTGCAGAACATTTGCAAAAGGATCCAAGTCATTGGGTGCCATGGCAAATGGTGTCTGGGTTTGTCCTTTTCAAATGCAACATCAGCTAATGTTGCAGAAGGTGGTTTTCACTGTTATGAGTGAGCTTGCAAAATGGTGTCAGTTAGATGTCAGCCTGGTTTAGTTAGTCGTTCTCTTGCCTCAGTGAGAAGGTTGTGGGTTCAAGCCACTTGTCAGGACTTTGAGCTCATATTCTAGGCTGACACTCCAATGCAGTGCTGGTAGTGTGCTGCGATGTTGGAGATGTTGTCCTTTGGATGAGACATTAAACTGAGGTCCCACATGCCTGTTCAGGGGACATTAAAGATCCCGTGTCACTCTTCGAAAAGAGAAGGGAGTTTCTCTCAATGTCCTGGCTAATGAACTCCACATAAAATTGGGTCATTCACTTTATAGCTGTTTGTGGAACATTGTTGTGCACAAATTGACTCGTTTTCACCTACAAAATGCACAGTCACTGGACTTTACAGAAAATCTTTTGAAGTGCTTTGAGACGTTTCAACAACATGATAATGTATTATATGAGATGCGAGAATTATTTATTGTAAAATGCTTCAAAGGAAAATCTGCAATCAAAATATGTATTTCTCTTGTGAGCTTCCTATGGATTGTGGGACTTTATTATCTGGGTTATTCTCATGGTTCAGGGCAAGCACCATAGGCTGGGCAATGTATGCTTATTGTTCCTCTGTCACACACGAATGGTAACTGTTAATGTTCCTGTTTGTTGGTCTTTTCCTGAAACTGAAGGTAAAAGACCAGGACAATGCATGGGATGGCTTGTGCTGGAAGGCATGAATTGTTGGGTCTGTGAGAACACACTCTGTATTTGGGATTCAGTGACTGCCCAAGACATCTTACTGAGTGCTTCACAACTGGTGGAATTCTCATTCAATGAGTTGCAATATAATATGTGTGTGCTTGATGTGGTTGGAGGACTGTGGCATTGCACTTGTTCACTATGTGCAACTGTCACTCGCTGACGTGCTTATGAGGAGTTTCTAATACCAGTTATCTGTTAAGCAAGAACTCAAATCCATCAATTGTGACTACCCTTCTTGAGAGGATACATAGGTAGTCACTCTGGGGTGAAATTGGAGATTACTAAAATTGAAGTCGTGTATTTTGGGAAACTGCTTAGGTGTGTGATGATTTGGGGAGGATGTTCTTGAAGTGACGTCATTCCATATTAGAGCTAGAAATTACTGCACCCGTCAAGGACAAGTACTACTTACTGACATCGTTAACCTCTCCCTGTCCTCTGGTACTGTTCCCACCCCTTTAAAAATCGCTGTCATTACTCCTATCCTTAAAAAAAACCCTCCTTGGACCCTTCTCTACTCCCTAACTGCCACCCCATCTCCAACCTCCCCTTCCTCTCCTGGAACGAGTTGTTGCTTCTCAGCTTTGGTCCTTCCTCACCCGCCATTCCCTTCTCGAACCCCTCCAATTGGGCTTCCTTGTCACCCACAGCACAGAAACCGCCCTGGTCAAAGTGACAAATGACATTCTGTCCATCTGCGACCAGGGCTCCCTCTGCCTCCTCATTCTCCTTGACTTCTCTGCTGCTTTCGACACAGTTGACCACTCTATCCTCATCCACCGCCTCTCCTCTCACCTCAACCTCCACAGCGCTGTCCTTGATTGGTTCATACCATACCTCTCAACACCGCCTGCACTTCACCTCCTCAAACGGTTTCTCCTCTAGCCCCGGACCGTCTCGTGCGGTGTTCCTCAGGGCTCTGTCCTTTGTCCCCTCCTCTTCAACATCTATATATATGCTCCCTCTTGGTGACATTATCCGCAGACGTGGGGTCAAATTCCACATGTATGCGGATGACACCCAATCTATCTCTCTGCCTCCACCCTTGACTCCAGGACCACTGCTGTGCTGACAGATTGTCTGTCAGACATCAAGTCCTGGATGTGAGCTAACTTTCTACAGCTGAATGTCAACAAGACCGAGGCCCTCCTGATTGGCTCCCGTCGGCGTCTCCTCATCTCAGGCGCTGACAGCATCACCATCCATGGTTGCACACTCCACTTTGCTAAGCCAGTCCAGAACCTTGGGGTCTTGTTTGACCCTCAACTATCCTTTCTACCCCACATCTGTGCCATGACTCGCTCTGCCTTCCCCCACCTCTGCAACGTCGCTCGGCTCCGATACTGTCTCACACCGCAGGCCGCTAAAACCCTCATACACGCTTTCATTACATCGAGGCTCGACTATGCAAACTCACTGCTTGTCGGCCTCCCCAACTCCTCCCTCCACAGGCTGCAGATCATCCAGAACTCTACAGCTTGTGTCCTCTCACGCACTAGGCTCCGCGACCCCATCACCCCCATCCTTGCCCAACTCCATTGGCTTCCAATCACACAGAGGATACAGTTCAAGATCCTGGTCCTCAACTTCAAAGCCCTCCATGGTCTTGCTCCCCCCTACTTCTCCAACCTCCTAATCCCCTACCACCCTGTTCGCTCCCTCTGCTCATTGGGCACCGGCCTGCTTCACAGCCCCCGCCTTGCTCGCCCCACCATTGGTGGGCGGGCCTTCTGCCACTCTGCACCTACCCTCTGGAACTCCATCCCGCAGTCCCTCCGTCTCGCCACCTTCAAGATCCACTTCAAGACCCTCCTTTGACCGTGCTTTCGATCTCCCTGCTTTCCCCCCAGCCCTCCACCCTCCCCCCACCCAACCCTCAGCTCGGGTCCATAACTCTGTCTGTCCAGCACCTTGGGACGTCCTCCCGACATGAAAGGCATTATACAAATGTAATTTTGTTGTTGTTGTACATTTAAAAATTGTTAGGTCTGAAATAATTACTTAGGTTGGGAAAAACACAGGTTTGAGACTGGGCTTGCCGATTGAAAGGCGCTATACAAATGTAATTTGTTTTTGTTGTTTGCTAACTGGGAATGCTGCTGGTACCCAGCAGTACATTTCAGCCAACTCCTGGGATTCCTGCTCCGCAGCACGATTCCTAGGCCATGTCAACCGTGACATAGTGTCAGGTGGGAGTCCCCTTTAGTGACTCTGAGTCACTATTAGCAAATCCCTTTGTGAAACATTTTTGCTTGGACCCCGTTGTCTCCTGTATGATTTAATGTTTGTAATATTTAACACGTATTTCTTTTAAATCCAGGGAACGCCGGTATTTGTTCATGCGGGTCCCTTTGCTAATATTGCACATGGTAACTCCTCAGTCTTGGCTGACAAGATGGCACTGAAGCTAGTTGGCGAGCAGGGATTTGTAGGTAAGTAAAATGTTGACTGTTCTAAGATCTCCTGATAATCGGCAAGAAAACTCAGCTCCATGGAAGCTGGAAGGATGAGAATAGATGGGCCGAAGGACCTTCTTCATGCAAACCAAACTAGTGATTTTGTACTATAATATACGGGGTAAAAAACTGAACCAACCCTGCTGTCCTTTAGATTAAATAACAATTAATGTATTTTGAATATACCATATCTGTTCACCTAATAATCACTACACTTTACAGTAAATCCTGTGAAGAGCTTTGAGACATTTCGAAGACATAATATATCATATCCAGCACAAGGATTATCATACCTAATAAAGCTAATTACAATCTTTGTTGCCTTATCTACTAGTAGAAATTGTGATTTTGCATTATGAGAAGTCCAATAATAAGGCAGTTGGTGACCAGTAACTATATATTCAGTGTTTCCTGTTATGTCATCAGTTATGATATTGCTACCAGCCATCTAGGTTTTCCTGTATACTTCATGATTTATAAGCTGTGTTTAACATTTCAGCAAAAGTGATAGAGAAAAGACCTCGCTTCATAGTGAAGAATCCCAACACTGAAGTGCACTAAACTCTTTGAGTTTGAGAAGTTTTATCCTGTAATTTGTAAATAACAGTAACTTGCATTAATATAGTACCTTTCACGGTAGATAGTATTTCAGAGTTTTGACAGAGACTTACTATACTTTGGACCTGAAATGTTGAGAACCAGAAGCAATGTTCCTGTTAACTAGCTACCTGAACAATTGAATGATCCACCATTTTAGTAGTGTCCATTACAGGACGGTTTCCTTCCCTGCTGCTAGCCCTATGATGTCGATTTGAAGTGCTGACTTCATTGCTGCTAATCAGCTGTTTAAAGCAGTACAAAAATGCAGTGTAATGTATCAATGAAATAATATAACATTGATATTCTGGTGGTTGTTGGGACACCCGATTGCCTTCAGAACAAAGCAAATGCATGTTGGCATTGAATGCAAGACATCTCTTTCCAACAGATGTGTACTCTTGTTTCTCTCAGTCCTCAGAGATGCAATGTCTTGTTTTGTTATAAATTACTGATATCCTTGGTAAACTCTTGGGATTTAGCACAAGTGGGAAAATTGAGGCTTTATCATGTTAAGCAACTGTTTCCCAGTCAATACCCATTTATTTCAGTGAGGGTGATGGGATTCATATGAACTGGCGTTTCACATTCGGAATGACATTTAAAATGTAGCTTCAATTTGTCCATTTATATAAATTGTTTTAATTTTTCATGTTTAAACAGTGAGCCCAGATGACATTAGTTGTGCCCAACTCTGGGTGTTTAATTAACAATTGTAGACGTAGACATAAACACATGGATGATTCCGCATTGCTTCTGTGTTAAATCAACTCCCTCGCTGACTGCTGGAAGTAACCGTGCCATTACGACACCCTCCGGGTGATGTCATTGGCAAGATGTCCTAGAACAAAAGGATGCTCGTGTTAACACAATTCTGAATTAGGATTTATAAGGGATTGTTCCCATTGGTCAGGCTGTCTGTTGAACTTTCTAATTTGAATTCCTCTCGTTTGTTTTAATTAAAATTAAATTGGGTCTGAAGGATCCACATCTACATCACTTTCCACCTGTCCCACCTACATCACCTTCCACCATTGCACCTGGAATGTTCCATATTATTTATTGAAGAATTGCCTCACTGCAAAGCAAATTGCATTAGATTTTACTGATACAAGTTCATTTTATTTTGTTCTTTATCCTCTTTCTTTCCCTCCTACCTGATGGATCCCTGTATTGCCAGTCGAGTTGGCTCACCTGTGGTAATGAATAAGACAATTAGCCCTGTTTGGGTAATATTGAATTAACATGCATAGTCCAGTTTAGAATGGAAATTTTAGGGTCAAAGCAAGTCATTCATTTCACGTCTGGTACACTATTGGCATTGCAGGCTGTAACCTTTGGTGTGACCCCAGAGGCCTGTTACATTGATTATTATTTCATCAGCAGGTTTATGGGTTAAAGTGTGAGTCGACATTCAGTGAGGAGTTTTTTGTGTGTGGCGTGAGTACTTTTCCATGGTGGACAATTGATTTATTTCATATCGGCAGCGTGTTGATGGAAAGCAGCTTTTTGTGACGGCCATTGTAAAGCATCGGCACACTTGGCATTATTCCCAGCCCTACATTTCATTTTACAAATGCCTCTGATGTTCAGCGTAAAAACAGTGACAGCCTGGGATAAGTTTGCTGCCTGATCCCATTGCAACATGTTGGGTTGTAAATCTCTGAATTTCTTCAGTGGTTTATTGTTCTCAACAGTTAGAAATATGACTGATCACAACTGGGTTAGCAAGATAATTAATACAATAGAACCACATTATAATGTGTTTTATTATAATGCACTTGTAACATGATTGGGGTGTGGACCCTGACACTTACCAATAATTCCACAATGTGTGCAGAAAGCTACCCATCATCTTTCACCCTATACCATTGCTGACTTCTGGGTCATCAGGTCATCACTGACATTACATCCTGCTCAACATAAAGAAGGGAAGTCATCAGCAACCTGACAACCCAGAAGTCAACCATTTTAGCACTGGAAGCTGGCTGTTTGCTTCTGTGCACATGCGCAATGAACGTGGAAGTGCTGACCAGCAATCTTGCCCTGTTAAAATGCTGATTGGAGTTTTATGACCTCTTGGGTAAAGCCACTATTTGGAAGGTTATAGGTTGGAATCTCCAATCTGTTTTGTGTTTGCTGATCTCATTTGGGACCTTGCAGTTGGCCTCGGTGCCAGGATTTCTACTCCCTATTGCTACACAGAGACCCAGCTGGAAGGTATTGTAGATATGGACATTATTAGTAGTACAGAATAAAAAATGTCAGTTTCAATAAATCCTTGCAGTTGATGAATCTCGATTCATATTGTGACTACGACTCAAACCACTTCAGTTTTTACTGTAAAGTGTAGTGGCTGTGTGTTTTGTAGGTGAACCATTGAGTGAAACCAGGATCTGACTTTACAGTGACTTTTCTTCCCACTCATGTATACAGTCCCAATAGGCTACCAGGATTCACCATTGTGCTCAAAGTAGAGTCATTTGAGAGAGGTAATAGAAGGGGCAATCAGCTTCTGTGCAGTTCAGTTCTTCCCTTATTTCAGCTCTACAAATTTATTGAGGGAGACATGACGTTCAGATAGATCAGTCCAAAACCGCATCTGATCACCTAAATTATTACCAGGTTTCACTGTCCTGGAAAGACATAGCCTGAAATATTACCTTTCCCCCTGAAAGGAAGTGTTTGTGGAATGTTAAGTGCTTTTAGACATCCGACCAATGTAAAATGTACTGCACAAATATGTGTTGTATTGTAACGTTGGAATTCTATTCAGAAGTAAGGAGACCTATAAACCGTGACGAGTAACCATTTTAAAAAACATTAGCTAACAGAACTGAATTTATGGTACTGATGTCCCAACTGCCTGTTCAGGTGGACTTTAAGAAACCCAAGATACCATTCAAAGAGACATGGGAGTTTCTTCTGGTGACCTGGCCAACAATCCCCCAGCTAAAATCACCATTCGTTTCATGGTTGTTTGTCGGACACAGTGGGCCAAATTGGTTGCAGCTTCTGCCCCCAAAATAAGCAGTTAAGACACCTTATACTAAATTGTATGCAGTGCTTTGAGAAGTCTTCATGATGTGAAAGAGAATGCAAAGATTATTATTATCTTAATTTGAGCAGAATGAATGAATGAAAACAAATCATGTTCTAGGGCAATTGAGTATAGAAATGCATGTAGTTTTATTCCTCCCCCTCTCCCGACCCTAACCGATTCAGAGAGCAGCAGCTATTGCAGGTCAAATTTGTTTACATAAAAATACTGAAGGTCACTTGACATACTCTGCACCCACTTCCTTTGAAGTTGAACAAATTAGATATCTTTCATTGTTCTGCTCTGTTGTAAAGGAATATCTTCACCCTACATCCTGCCATGCTTTGTACAATCATTTTTCCACAATTCTGTTGATTTCCTCAAACAAAACAAAATACATGCAAAAAATCCATCCCCCTTTGAAACATTCTTGCTTGGTAAAATCTGTTGAGACTGATCTGTTTCATTTCAATAATCCTATTATCCACACTGTTGAGTAATTGTTTCTGAATCCTAAAATGCCAAATCTCATGTGGCTTACTATGCACTGTGATGTTGAGAAAAGTACTGAAAGAGGAACAGAACTGTATCTCTGTCTCTTTGCCTACATAAATGCACAGTCTCTACACTTTGCAATGAGTTGTGTGAAGCACTTTGAGACACATTCCTGACGTGAACGGTGCTATACCAAACTCAGCTATTATTTAATTGTGAATATTTTTTGTTTGAAAAAAATCAACAAAGGTCAAGTTATAGTTAGAATTGGTGTAACTGTAGCTTTACTACTGAGATCCTCTCCATCTTAGAGTAGGGTGAATAAGTATTGCACCAAATACTCTATAGTATTGAAACAACTGGCATTTTCTTGTAAAGAATTGGTGATGAATTACTTTTCTAATGTTCTGGAGTAACAAAGAATATCATTTATAATATGCCAGTGCTACTGTTAAGTTATTTTAGTTGAATCAACTTGCTCTGTAAAATTAAATTTCAAAAGATAGTGTATGGTTTGCCTGATTTATGTTGTGATTTTGATCCAATTAACCACATCGTCAAAACATCTTAAAATGCTTCATAAGGATTTACTGCAAAGTATAGTGATTGTCTGTTTGTAGGCAGACATGGCAGCCAATATGTGCACAGTGAATTAACAATTTTATCTGGGGACCGTTGGGAAAAACTCCCTTCTGCTTTTGAACAGTGCCGTGGGATCTTTAATATCCACCTGAACAGGGCGATAGGACCTCACAAGATTTAAACAAAGAATGATCTTAGGCTTCCACAATTAGGACACAACTATCTTCCCATTACATCTGTTTTTTGATTTAATCCAGTGGCTTGAGCTCTGACGCTTCCTAATAACCCAGATCATCTTCTGTGTAAAGACGTACTTCCTGTTTTCTCTGTCCTATAATTGCCTTTTGCAGCCTTCTCAACCTGTGCCCTCTTGTCCAGCTGCTACAGTGCCTCTATCTATATAACTCCCTCTCTCTTCCCCTCTGCCTCGCCCTTCTCCAAACTGTCTACCTAAACACTTACCTCTCTAACCATGTTTAAGGTAGCCTGCTCCTCCCTATTGCTCGGCACTCCAAGATGCCATCCTGTGTGACAGGCACCATTTAAATACAAGTTGTTGTTTGTGTATCTGAGTGTATTGTTCATGGGCATTTCTACCAGTGAGCTGCTTCTGCTGGTTGTGCTGTAGCAAAATCATATTCTGCCCATGTGAATTGCCAAGACTGCTACTAATTAAAGAGGATGCCATTGGATATGTCACACCTTTTGGTTTCACTTCACTTCCACTAATAATACGCACATGGCATAGAATCTGTTCAAGTGAAATAGTTTCACAGGTGAGGCTGCATCACGTTCAGATGAATAATTTAGCCCAGTATATAATTGCACAACAAGAAGCAGCAGCTTTCTAAACTGTTGGTTTCTGTTTAATGTAGATGTATCATGAGTGTCCACTGAGCTCAGGAAGGTGAGGGAAGGAAGTACAGAGGATTTTCAAGCCATTTGAGAGTCATATACTTTGAGCCAAGCCAGTTTTTACTCCAGTGTGCTTGCCCTGCAAGTAGTCTAATCAGTCTAACATCATGGCCTTCAGTTGCTGGTTAGTGGGTCTGGCCTTCAAGATAGTTACCATTGGGAATACCATTGCTGGGGGAGGGGGGATGAGGAGAATCTATGCAGATGTGTTTCATGTGCTAAATATCAACTACTACTAAATTAATTCCAGTATATCCTTACAATACATCAATGCCAATGTCCAGATAATATTTTTATATGGTTGAATCCATCAGTACAGAAGGCAGGAAATCATTAGGATTGACATGTTAGTGGAAGCGAAACATGCTTAATTTTTTCCTTTTTTGTAAAAAAAAAGTAGTAACCAGCCTTTATTGCAGTATTTTAAGATTGAAAATAATGTGCATTGAGTATACCACGCGCTCACTTTGAGTGAAGGGTAGTGCTCCGAGACTTTCTCCTGGTTGAAGGATAATATGCAAATGCAAATTGTTATCGTTAATGTGATTGCAACTACTAATATTGAAAAAAAAGTCTTCCCTCCCCAGTTACCTAACCATGTGATGCCTGGTTTACAGTAACAGAAGCTGGTTTTGGAGCTGACATTGGGATGGAGAAGTTCTTCAACATTAAATGCAGGGCATCTGGCCTGTACCCCAATGTGGTTGTGCTTGTGGCAACAATACGCGCCTTGAAGATGCATGGAGGAGGGCCCAACGTAAGTAACTCTTTAAGAGATGGCTTCATGTATTAGATAAATAGCTGTCCAAATCTCATGGGCAATTACTTCAAACTTATCGCTTTGCCTCCCTGATGTCTACAGCATTTTAGAGGTAGAGGGGCTATTTAACAGCTGTTCAGATGACAATGCTATTCAACTAGTTAGTCTCTGGAGTCTGGTTTGGCATCTGACACCAATCTCTTAGCTGCTGGCAGGAATTACCTTCAAATTACAATCCAGCTTCACCGTCATTGAGAGTATGATTGACATTGAGCAGGATTGACATTGGACTTCGAGCAGGTGGGGTATTCATTGAGCTGGTTAAGTCAGGGTCAGTGAGGTGTGGGCTTTTCCAAATATATTTTAGATCCCATTAGTTCTTCTTGGAATTTCCCTCCTTTTGTTGAAATTGTGCCAATAAAAAAAACTGACCTTATTCATAAAAAAGGACAGAATTTTGAATATATTAATTAAATATGCTTTTATGCACAGTTTTTACAAAACTATTTAAAATCAAACATTTTTAGAAAGCACTGCATGTGTTTGAATTTGTCTATATTGCTTGTTAGACATGTATTTGAGTTTTAATAATACAGGCACTATTTGCGCTTCTTTAGGTTACTGCAGGCAAGCCTCTAACGAAGGAATATACAGAAGAGGTAAGTAAGTGCCTTTTGGTATGAAGATGAAGTTCTGTTTGTGAACATTATCCAAATCCTTTATAGTATGAACATATTTCTGATTTTTTTACAGCATCTGAGCTTCAATGTAGCCCCTACAGAGAGGGCATAAGCTCTTTAAATTGCTGTCATTGTTGCCTTCCAGCAGGACCTTTATAGCAATTGGGAGTGGGAGTGGGAAGTCCCGAGTTATAGCAAAGTGCATTCCAAAGGCATTGTGTTACATGAAAAATTGAGCAAAGAGCACATTGGTAAAGAGAAGATGGGGGTTGTGTGGTAAATGGAAGATTCTCTGATTACAATTGGATTTTGTCAAATCTCCATAACTGCTTGGTGCTGCCACTGTTCTCAGTAGGAGGTTCCCTGTCATCTAACATTCTTATTTTGATGAGCACAGTTACATTTATATGTGCTGAATGATTAGAACCACATCATAAACCAATGAATTTATGGTCACTGGATATTCTACATTCTGCATATTCTATATTCTTTTATTAATGGAATGATATTGATATCAATTACTAAACTCATCATTTGGTTACAATGATTAAACACACCATGTTGGCACTTGAGCACACAAACCAGGAAATTTCTTGATCTGTTCTCATCTCAACCGGGCATACAATGAGATGGTTATGGTTGGCCTCCGTTTCTGTGGACCGGGAGTGGATTGATTTCAGCCTGCATTTCTATTCCTAATCACTGTTCAGTGGAAATGTGTTGTCTGGTGGGAAAATGTGTGCATGTACAAACCTGCTGAGGTGGATGGTGCTCTGTTGTGATACTCTCACCCTACAGTAGTGAAATATCTTACTGTCTTAATCTGTGCATCGGATACTTGGGACAAGGGTGAGAGAGGCGCTTGCACTCGGGGAGCCATGTCCTATCTTGTTGATCCACTATTTCATATTCTGACAGTGCCTGAAGAGCCTACATTTTTTTAAAACTTAAAAAAAACTTTATTTAAAACCTAATTTTAATGACCTGATTGCTCCCCAACATTCTCTAGACCACCAACATTTCAATCAAGACTACAAGCACCGATTGTAAGCTGCAGAAAGTTTGCCTTCAGGATGGAGTGAAGACATTCCCTCCAACCTCTCACATTCTTCTGCTAACAAACTTGAGACTATGCCCCCGTGTCTCTCAATTGCCCAGCTAAAAGGAAATTGTTTTTCTCCTTTTGCCCTGTCGTGCCCTTTAAGAATGTTACTTTGGAATGGATAATATTGGAGTTCCTGTGGGGCTCACTTGGTCTCTCCCAGCTCAGTATTGTAAGTCTTGACCTGGGATGTCAGTATCATGTAGCCTTCAGGATGAGAGATCTCTTGGAGAGGTGGCTGCTAATGGGCAGTATTCCCATCTCCTTGGATACTTATGACATCAGCCACAAGGCAACAATGCGAAGTTCTGCTCCGATGGACACTGTTCCTGACGAAGGATTTTATACCTTGCTCTCTGGATTCTGGATGTCTTTCTGACTGATTACAAAGTTGGAGTAATTCAGCTCTTGGCTCCTCAGACCTTTGTCTTGTAACGCTTTCTGAATTCAGAATGAGTCAATGCCTCTAATTACTTCGGAAGTTGCACCTGGTATTGCTGTACTAGCTTGGTACGTCATGATTTCTGAAACAGCAAAAGGGGGAGGAAGGTACCCGACCTTGGTCTTGTTTTTTTTCTTTCTGGAACTAACTTTCCTTTTCACATGACCTTCCTACTGCATTTTACCCTTCCTTAGTATCAGGTGCCAAAATTTTACATGTGCACCGAGCACTTCAACAACCTTACTGTTTACACAGAGCTCAGCAGGAAACATGTGAAACGCTCTGCATTAAAACATTTCTACCATAACCGGACAAAGGTTTACTAAGATTACGTGCATCAAACTGGCTTCCATTCTACGAAGTTTCCAAGATTCTCTTGTACCACTTTAACTTTAAAAAACTGGTTCACGTATCAGAACACCAAACACTAAATCCACCCTTCATCTTACTGATAATGAATCCAATTTAGGATTTATTTTTCAAATGCAACCACGTTTTTATCCTTTCTAACAGGGACGCAAATGATAAGACAACTGAGAAAAGAGCAGATCAACAAATCTACCTTGTTTTTTGTGGCATCTGTAAGATTATTGGAAACACTATTGTTTACGATATCTGGATCTTGTCTGCCCATCTTTGTGAGGTTTTCATTGCCCCCCAGTGACATCGTATTTTCACTTCTTTAGTCTTTTTTCTATTCTGCTACATGCCCCCACCATCTTCGGAAGAGTTTTTGGCCATTTTGCCCCCATTTTCTGGAACTCCCTCCCTGAATCCCTTCAAATTGTCCCTTCCCTCCCCACTTTCAAAGCCCTTCTGAAGACTTTCCTCTTTGGCTGTGCTTTCAGTCGTCTTTCTTCTTCCCACCCTCTTCAGCTCCCACCTACTAGTCAACAGTGTAAAGCGCTTTGAGACATCCTGACATGATAGGTGCTGTATAAATATGTATTGTATTGAATTATTTTACCTTCAGTCTTAATCTAGTTTTGCCGTTTTTTCCTTTTTTTTATTTTGTAACGGAAGTGAGTAACATTGGACATAATATTCACTGACACTTTATAAATAGACTTGGTTCTTTTATTTATTCATTCTGCATTTAACGAAAATGGACATTTTAAAAATGTATTTTAGTTTGGAATTCAATTGCTGATGAATCAGGAAATTCATTACATAACTACTCTATTACATTTCTCTGGGAAGTAGATGGGTATATGAAAGACAGAAGCTCAGGGGATAGGGCAGGGCAGTGGGATTGATGGTACAGCTTGGTTTGGGAGTTATTGTAGACTCTGGAGCAAATGGTTCTTTGTGCTGTAGATTTCTATGATTCAGCTTATTTTATTGACTCTTCAGTTTTAACTTATTTTTTCAGGTGCATGCTTTTGAGTTTTTTAAATCAAGTTCAGGTGTTTAATATGAGATCCTGTAATCCTCTGTTTACATTTTGTAAACTCGTTTTACTATGATTTAAATGGTGCCTATTTCCTTTTCCTTATTAGGTGATGACATTTTAGAATTTCAGACCAGTTAATAAATCTTAAATACCTAACTGGATGAAACATTTATACAATTGAAACCATTTGTAATCTTTTAAGAAAATCCCAGTTTATAGATGAAATTGCTTCAAGAAATTGCACATGAAATGAGTTTAGTTCAATTTGTTGGACAGGTTAGTTGCCAAAATGTCACTGGACTTGTTGGTGAATGGCTAGAGAACCAAATTCCTTAGGTTGAAGTTAATGTTGACCTGTGGGCCAGTGCTACAGTTATACCACACCAATGAACACACAGATGCCTCATTTAACATTACTGGAGTAAAATTGATGCTCAGTGCTTGTCACTCTTCATGCTAATGTGAAAAATTAATTATAATAATAATAATCCTGCATTTGATATAGCGCCTTATCATGTCATTGAGACCCCTCAAAGCACTTCACAGAATATACTGTAAAGTGAATTGGCTGTATATTTTGTGGATGAACAAAAACATGCTTTTGGAATCATTTATTTTAAATCTGCAGAAATATGTACACATTATTGTTAAATTGCCGTTAGTGTTGAGGATCAAAACCTGGATTATACCACAAAGTGATCAGTTGGGGCATGTGTTTAGACAGAAAGCTTGGGGTTTATTCAAACCTTATGTTGAAGGAATTTTCTGTCGATTGTTTATGTAATGTGATTCAATTATTGTTTTAGAACTTGAAACTGGTGGCTGATGGTTGCAGCAATCTGCAGAAACAGATCCAGATCGCTCATCTCTTTGGAATGCCTGTTATAGTTGCTATAAATGTATTCAAGTAAGTGTTTCTTGCAGCAGCTTTATAAAGTTTGTACATGACCGTGAAATCATTGGGTGTTGAACACCGCAGCCTACAGCCGTAAGTGATGAAGCTTTTCATCAGTGCAACAACAAGTTACAAGTACCCCAGTATTGTATCAACAGTGGACAAATTAAGAATTTAACATTAAACTTAATGAGACTGATCCTTAAATCTTGCTGCCATTTGCATTTGTTTTTGAAGGTAGTGGGTGTGGAAATGCAAAGTTCATTCTAAATTTAGAGTCAATTAGTGATCTCTAATATTATTGTTGCCTGTGTTAACTTTGGCAATTGTAAGTACCTTCAATACGTGTTTGATAAAATATATGCCAACCTTTGTATTGACTGAAAATTCTAAGTGAGTAACCCACCACTTATTTTCTTTTCTGGATGGTCAGTCCCTTATCATATTCAGGTTTCATATTTCAGTCTCCAAATAATTTATCATTGATTTGTGCACTTTAAAATCCATCTACTTAGTTATTGTTTGCTCTTTGTCTCTCATTTGTCACCTGAAATGTTAGAATATTACAGGAATTGAACTTTGATAGGGGAATTGGTGACTAGGGTCATAGTTATAAGACAGCCACAAGAACAGCAAAAGGAGAACTTAGTAGGATTTTTGTTTCACCCAGAGAGTTGTTGGGATGGGGATTGCCGAGTAGGGTTGTGGAGCCAGAGTCGATGTGGATTTCTATGTGTCTATGAATTTCTCTTGAGTTGTGTATAAATAGTGGAATAGACCATTGCTCACTTTCTATTTATCATTTTCTGATTCCAATTGCTAAAGTTTTTATGATCGTGCTTCATATTTCTCAAAGCATAACCGATCTTGAAAGAGTCTCAGATGTAGGACACACTTATTGTTAAGAGCTTCTCTTCCTATCCACAGAAGTGACACTGAAGCTGAGATTGATCTCGTCTGTCAAATTGCCAAACATTCTGGAGCTTACGATGCTGTCTCGTGCAACCACTGGGCAGCTGGTGGCAGAGGAACAGTGCAACTGGCTGAGGCAGTGGAGAGAGCTGCAAACGAGAAGAGTACCTTATCATTTCTATATGACTTGAAGGTGAGTGTGCCTTTAAATCTCAGGTCTTGAGTTTTCAATACTGTTACAGTGAAATCTGCAATAGTAGCAGTGTACATAGTGTTGCTCTCATTTTAGGGTGGTTACAAAGTATTCTGACACAGTCTCTGAAAATATCTTGCAGAAAAGAACATAAAATTAGTATGAATACATTTTTGGAAGAAATAATTTAGTCATAGTTCCATAGTTAACATTTCAAATTAATTCAGTGTTCCTGAAGCCTTAATGAGCTTGAGGATTTCAGTTTCAGCCTGATAAACTTCTCTGCTTCCAATAGAATGAAATGGAATATCTCTAAACTAAATGCAAGGAAGCCTATTTTTTTGGTGGGAGTAAATTCCTTCATCTTCCTTCAGAACACCATAGTCCTCCGAGATGGGCTTTGTCAGGTCAGCAACGAGCGGAATCTGCATTTGGCCAATACTACCTTAGTTTAACCAGCATAGTTTAACATCCACACCACACTGAGACACATAGGCAAGCTTTCTGCTGCTTGTCCAGCTGGGACTATCCTACCCCTTTGGGCTTTGAGTTGCAGGGTTAATGAGAGCAAAATGAGAATAATCCCTGCTCCCCATGCTGGTTTATTACTCCAGTCCTGTCAATGAGCCAAGATGCCTGATGCATCATTAACAGTGCCTTGGAGTAATGCAGACATGCCTTATTTAGGAATAACATCAGTAACAACAACAAAATTACATTTGTATAGCGCCTTTCACATCCCAAGGCACTGGACAGACAGAGTTTCGGACCCGAGCTGGGGGTTGGGATCAGGGAAAGTGGAGGGCAGTGGGAGAAGCAGAGAGATCGAAAGCACGGTCGAAGAGGTGGGTGTTGAGATGGGTCTTGAAGGAGGCAAAGGAGGGGGTGAGGCGGAAGGACTGCGGGATGGAGTTCCAGAGGGTGGGGGCAGAGTGGCAGAAGGTCCACCGCCGCAAAAGTGGGGCGAGCAAGGCGGGGGACATGAAGCAGGCCGGAGCTCGCTGAGCAGAGGGAGCGAGCAGGATGGTAGGGGGTTAGGAGGTTGCAGAGGTATGGGGGAGCAAAACCATGGAAGGCTTTAAAGGTGAGGACCAGGATCTTGAATTGTATCCTCTGAGTGATGGGAAGCCAGTGGAGTCGATCGAGGATGGGGTGATAGGGTCACGGAGCCTGGTGCGGGAGAAGACATGGGTAGCCAAGTTCTGGATGATCTGCAGCCTATGGAGCGAGGAGTTGGGGAGGCTGACAAGCAAGGAGTTTGCATAGTCGAGCCTCGATGTAATGAAAGGGCGTATGAAGGTTTTGGGGACCTGCGGTGTGAGACATTGGTCACTAAGATCACCACAGAGGAGAGACTTAATTCTGATATTTTGTTGCTAGCACATCTCTGTGGAGCCAGCTAAAATATCAGAAACCCAGTTTCCCTCTTTCTCCCCTCCTCTAGGAGGATAGTCACGAGGTGATCTGAGTCCACTAAGTGTAGCAAGTCTATACAAGAACAACTTGTATTTATATAGCGCCCTTTATGTGGGACCGTGTCTCAGAGTGCTTATACATTCTCTGGTCATATGTGAACTGGAATTGTATTATTTAGTTCTGAAGATGAAAAGATTCCACCAACTATTTGCCTGAAGTTGATGTGGTTTTTTAATTGGCAAATCGGATTTGTCTATTAGTATAAATCAATAAGTAACCTGCACAGGATGTGCTCCATGTTTTGTTGAGTTTGGAATTGAGAGTTTTTTTTTAAATCTATATTCTATGTATAAAAGTTGAAAGAAAACTGTTGATGTTCCAACACCATTCAGCTTTAAATACCAGCACTTTGAATGTACATGTAATTGGTAGAGTACTGTGAAACGCTTTGAGACATACTCCTGGCATGAAAGGCGCTATATAAATTAAATGTAAATTGTTGTATCATCCTGGCTCAGTTGGTGGCACCCTTGCCTCTGATTCAAAAAGTGCAATACTGGGGGAGCACTGCATTGTTGGCAGTGCCATCCTTGCCATCAGCGGATGATCCTTCATTAATTTGTCCCACCCTTGAACTATCTCCTCCACCTCTCCCCTTTCCGCTCTTAATTTCAAATCCCACCTGAAGACCTACCTCAGTGACTGATCTTTAGGTTCCAACCATCTTGTCTCCTGCTCAGCTTTTATGAGGCTTTGAGATGTTCTCCCAGTGTGAAAGGGTAAGGTGCTATATAAGTGTAAATTGTTGTTGCTAAATTGTTTAGCACCACTGGATTGAACTGGTCATCTTTACTCTTTACTGACACCAAAGAATAAAGTATCAGCAGGATAGTACTATTCTGTGGCTCAATCCCAACACCATGGTTGTTACAGAGCTGTTATTCTAAGGGTTTCTGCTTGATGGTGCTTTTTTGAATGGTGGAGGGGGCTATCTTAAATAAATAAAGAAAATAAACGGGACTCATTGAAAAAATCATTATTCATTTTTCCTTTTATCTTCTCCCCCTCCTCCGCTCTCTTTTTTATAATGAAATGTATTTTTTTGCTGGGTAATATCAGGACTAATTGAAAGTAAAATGGTGGTTTACATCAGCCGTTCTATGGATAATGTCATTTATCCCATGTACAAAATACATAAAAACCTTATGACTGCTCCCATGATATTGTGGTAAATAAAAGAAGCTACTGATTTCCTGAAAGCAGATGTTTATCAAAGAAAAGTATTGTGGCTTCTTGTCCTCTGAATGCCTCTGACATAGTCTGAATAGTTCCGTTTCATCTTCAAGTTTGAGTCCAGTGCCAGCATACCTTCAAACGCAAGCATACAAAACAATTCTCTTTCAGAAGTGGTGTCTTTTTATCTTCTTGTGGTTATAATGTGATATATTGTGTTTGCTCCCTTGCAGCTGTTTCTTTCATTCATTTGAGGTGCAACATGCAACCATTTTAAGTAGGATGAGACTGCCGGAATAATTTGGTACAATTTTATAGTGTGTTTTCCTCACTCAATTTCAGTCCGTTAGGCATTTTGGGGTGAAAGACTCCTGAGTGAAATGACTACCTGGGTTTTAACGCATATCATCAACCTGTCAACCAGTCTGTGCCATTTTATTAGATCATGGCAGCTCTTTAGAAAGATGAAACTCATTTTTGATCACAGTTTGTAGCGCTGAGTAACTTTATCAAGTGCACAATTTTTTTTTTGGCAAGCAAGGCAACCAATTTCCACACAGCAAGAATGCCACAAAGGATTATTGAAAACTAGGACACTGGAATAAACTCCTTTCGAGTAGTGTTGATGTCCACCTTAGAATAAGCAAGCAGGAACTCTGTTTAATGTCTCCAAAGGACAGCACCTCGAACAATTCAGTACTTCCCCTGCACTGTCGGTATGGATTCTTAGCTGAATCCCCAAACCTTGTGACTCATTGGTGAGAGTGCTACAAGCTGAGTCTGATCCCTTTTCCCCACTATTTCACCGTCTCATTACTCTTTAATACTACAGATAAACTCATATAAATTGTCTTGTATAATCATAATCACCCGTCGTACATATTAATAATAATCTTTCCATTTGATATAGTGCTTTATCACATTGTTGAGACGTCTCAAAATGCTTCACAGGACGTACGCTTTGTGGAGTCCTGTAGCTCAGTGGTGAGAGCGCTCACCTCGCAAGTGAGAGACCTGAGTTCGATTCCTGGCAGGGCTAAACCTCGGGCAAGTTTCCTTATTCCAGACGCCTGATAATAATCCCTCAAGAAAAAAAAACAATAAATTGGTCACTTGAATCCACAACGGTTTGTGGGACACTGCTGTGCGCAATTGGCTGCCACGTTTCACCCACAAATATACAGTCAATTCACTTTACAGTATATTCTGTGAAGTGTTTTGAGACGTCTAGAAGATGTGAAAAGCACTATATCAAATGCAAGGATTATTATTATACGGTAAGGTAGATTGACTGTATTTTGTGGGTGAAATGCAGCAATCAGTTGTAATAGCAATGTCCCACAAACAGCAATGGAGTAAGTGACCGATTTTATTTGGGGGATTGTTGACTAAGGACCTGGAAGAAACTCCCATGAATAGTAGATCTTTAATGTCCACCTGAACAGGCAGATCGGACTTCGGTTTAACGTCTCATCTGAAAGATGGCACCTCAGACAATCCACCATACCCCAAGTATGTGCACCCAAGTCCCATTCATTTTCCTACTAAACACTACTTTGATTTCTTTGCATTAGTTAGATTTTACAAGTCATCTAAATGGCTAAGTCATAACAATTTTGTACTTGGTCCCAAATAATGTAAATCCCAAAGGAAATTGTCTCCTAACTCGGATCACTACAACCGCATCTGCTGGTTGCACTGACAAAGTACCACACAATGTTAGTAATTCTTTGTAAGAGTTCATGCCGTTCATTGTATTTGACACGTTTTCTGCACATGAGGACATGTACATTGTACAGATTGTACATTGTACGGAGTCCTGTAGCTCTGGTTAGAACACTCGCTTTGCAAGTGAGAGACCTGAGTTCAATTCCAGGCAGAGGGCGAAACCTTGGGCAAGTTTCCTTACTCTACGTTTTGCCCACAAATATACAGTCAGTTCACTTTACAGTATATTCTGTGAGGCGCTTTGGGACATCTAGAAGACGTGAAAAGCGCTATATCAAATGCAAGGATTATTATATTATTAGATGTATTTGTTATGTGTTACTTGTATAAAATCTGACTTACGCATAACAACAACAACTTGGATTTATATAGCGCCCTCCACACTGGACGGCGTCTCAGAACGCTTCACAGTAACGTATCCCGGGGCCAGGGGAGGAGGAGGAAGGTAACCAAAGGCGTGGTCGAAGAGAAAGGTCTTCAGCAGGGACCTGAAAATAGGAAGAGAGGGAGCGAGGCGAAGGGAGTGAGGCAGGGAATTTCCAGAGCCTCGGGGCATAGTGCCTGAAGGCATGGCCGCCAAGTGTGGAGCGGAGGACTCGGGGGACAAGGAGGAGGCCAGATCT